GCCTCATAATATCTAAATTATGGTTGTATAACCTGTAGATTATTGGTCTGTTTATGGGCCAGTGTTATTCACCATTTTCCTGTTAAAAAACTTTATTTTGTGCTCCCAAAACAATCACAAAACTGAAAATTGAGGTCCAGGGTAAAAGACTAACTGCTTCAACAACACAAAGCGTGTACAAGTCTTTGAAAGGTTATAATTGTAGGTTGGCTATATGGCCAAAATTTTCCGTTGCTTGCACATTATTAAAAAAATGGTATTTGTTTTTTCAGGTAAATAGCTAAATGCCTATTTGAAATCTGTGTAGGTGAACTGTTTTTTTCTGCTAAAGGATTTGTCACTCTGTTAAGCCAGTTTTGTGATCCTAGTAAACCCTCCAGGTCCAGTATTGTTCCAGGATCTCCTCCAGCCTGTGATTAGACATTGAAACAGCAACAGCATATTAGGGCATGTAAGGTCCTCCCTTTGCTGGCCTATGCTGAAATTTGTGTTCCTGACAGCACCATGTGCCTGCACTCTTAGATGGTGAATGAGGTCTGCCTTTGGGCATTGCTGAGTGTTGGGCAGATGTGAGAACCCAATGGGAATCAGCAGGAGTCTCACGTGTGCTTAGAAAGCAAGAAAGTTCCAGCAAAGAGAAAAGCACCTGGCTCCAGTGCCATCTTGGATATGCCTCCCATATATTTTAATTATACTTTAAAACATGCTAGGGACCAGTAATACATGTGCACCTTTCCTTGGTTTATATTAGTAATAGTAAACATGTGACATGTCTAAATTCTGCTTCCATTGTTGTAATAATTGGAGTTAAAAAAACATGCCTTAAAAATTGAAAGTCGAAGTTGTCATCTGGGATCATCAGCCATGTCTTAGTGATTGCTGCTTTCGCTAGTTCTGTTGCTATGCAGCAATGGTTATATTAGGGCCTACTACACAATACATAATTCATTTCTTGGTACAATGTTCATTCTAGATACCAATGTATTGCATAATGCTGAGCATACAAAAGAGAATCTATACCTCAAAGACTTTGTCACATTCAGAGCACAACATTTTTGTTTTGGGCTCTTATACAATCTGGGTGCTTGGCCTTGCTCACCAAATAGAACATATATATATACATAACCCATTTAAAAGTATGGTTATACAGCTGAACAGGTTGAAGCTTTAATTCTGGTTTGGCCATATATAACAAGAAATATAAGCAGTGAGACATTTGCCCTACTTGGAGCCACTATGACCCTCTTTGCACACAAAGGATGTTAATAGCCCACGCACAGTTAAAGTCTTCTTTTCTTTTAAGGTGAAAGGAAAAATGAACACCTCTTTACATAAAGAGTTTCCAGCAAGGCTTTCATTCATCCAGATCATGGTATAATTATTAAAAGTTAGTCACATTTAACTCAGTTTGTTCTCTAGTATTAAAAAGGTTTGACCACTCATTCAAGTAGCTTCCTGATTTCTAATGTGTGTTGTAAACATACCGCACTATTAATTGACACATGGGTAACTCAGATACCCTAATCCAGTCACATGGTGTCATATAATATTTCAAGGCAAATGTTGGTTGTCCAAAAACTTGAGTGAGAAATCAGTAAAACTAGTTTTTCTTATTATTAAGCATAATTTAAATACCATTCTGAAAAGAAGTCTGGGGCATATGGTAATTGTTTGATTTACATGCCTGAATGCGTGAATTATTGTCAAATAGCTGCAGTATAGATGTTGCAATGATGGGTAACAGGTGGTGTTGAAGGCCTTTACCCCTGTTTAGGTGCAGCTAAGGGCTCAGCAGTCAAGTCAATCTAAAGGTGAAGGGACATTTTTTTAAGAACAGTGATAAGCAGATTTTGCACAAAGAGTACAACTGGTTCACAAGGGTGTGAAAGAGGCCATCTACTTCAAACAGGAACAGATACAAATGCATTGTGTTGCACAGTGTGCTGCCTGAATGCTCTACAGAAGAATCAAAAGACCTGCAGCTGATTAGTTCATATCCTGGGCTTAGCGTCAGAACATAGCTGTCAGTGGCAGTTTTATTATTAAACCCTGCTGGGACCCAGCAGAGCTGATGTAACATAGCACCATTTTAAAATCAGAATTGAGATCTAGCATACAACAAGCTGCATATGGCTCTTGTGCAGAAAAACAAAACAGGCCCTCTGTTTCAGCCCATGACATTTATTCCATAGGCACGTTTTCTGGCAGGCCAAGATTTGATCTCCACCCAGTTTTTTCTCAGACATCCCATTTTACTCTGATTGGAGCCCTTTCCTGCCTTGTCTTTGGTCTTCTCCATATCTATCCAGTATGTACCATTTTAGCCAAGGGTGTATTCTCTCGTGGCATAGCTGCTGGTACGTCCTGTTGCCAAGAAAGAAAGACTTACATTTATGCCTTCCTAACAGTAAGGCATCCATCTCTCTTCTAAACTTTTTTTGTTGAGAGGCCTAGTGCTATCTTCTCATCTCTTGATAGCTTATCTCCTGTAGTTCTTCATCAGTCGTTCACACTTTGATAGTCACCATACATCTAAAGTGGACAGAAAAATATAATAATTTATTATTACTTAAAAAAACTGTTATGATATTTTTACATATTTTTATGGAACACACATTAAGACATAGTTTTGAATTCTAAAACCTTTATGAAAAGGCCAATGTCTCTTTTAACTGGTGGATGGATGTTTAAAGGGCACATTATGTAACAGACTGTACGTTTTCAGCAGTGCTGTATTTTATTTTATCTCTTTAGTATTATAGGTACTTATATAGTGCTGTCAATTTATACAGCGCTTTACTCATATATATTGTACATTCACATCAGTCCCTGCCCTTAAGGAGCTTACAATCTAAGGTCCCTAACTCACATTCATACATACACATACAAGGACCAATTTAAACAGATGCCAATTAACCTACCAACATGTCTTTGGAGAGTAGGAGGAAACCGGAGTACCCTGAGGAAACCCACGCAGGCACAGGGGAGAACATTGGATGGGATACAGGGCAAATCCCATTTTGTTCAGTTTCTTAATGCTTTGCTTTTATCTATATGTTTTGCCACAGAATTTAATATGAATTTAAAGAAACGCTGGTTAATTGTCATTTACTTTCTCCGCTGCCCCATAGTGTTTGATTTGTTTGTCAATGTAATAACATTTTTATGTATAAGCTACTAATGTAAAAATAGTGAGGTAGCATTGTATTATTATTTATATATTTGAACAGGGTTTGTTTCATATGGATACTTTTAGTGGTAATTCTCATCCAGCTTGAACTGGTGTAAAACCAAATGATAAACATACCCTCTCTAGATTTATATTATTATTACTGCTAGAGTTATTACTAGTTCTTTAACGTATGTTGGCCTTACAAATTTTAATCTAATTATATCATATTCTGCCTGTTTAAACTTTCAATTAGATCTATGAAAATGTAAACCCTTTGAAACATTAAAATTGAAAAGGAAGTAATTGCCAAAAGTATTGGGACACCCCTCCAAATCATTGGATTCAGGTTTTCCAATCATTTCAATAGCCACAGGTGTATAAAATCAAGCACCTAGGCATGCAGACTGCTTCTACAAACATGTGAAAGAATGGGTCATTCTCAGGAGCTCAGTGAATTTAGGTGATAGGTTGGCATCTCTGCAGTAGGCCCATCCGTGATATTTCCTTGCTACTAAATATTCCACGGTCAACTTTTTGTGGCATTATAACAAAGTGGAATCAACTAGGAACAACAGCATCTCAGCCACGAAGCTGTAGGCCATGTAAAATGACAGAGTGGAGTCAGTGCATGCTGAAGAGTCAATAGCTAAAGACCTCCAAACTTTGTGTGGCCTTCACATTAGCACAATAGTGCATACAGAGCTTCATGGAATGGGTTTCCATGGCTGAGGAGCGGCATCTAAGCTTTACATCACCAAGTGCAATTCAAAGTGTCAGATGCAGTTGTGTAAAGCAGGCCGCCACTGGACTCTAGAGCAGTGGAGATGTGTTCTCTGGAGTGACGATACATGCTTCTCTGTCTGGCAATCCAACGACTGTGTCTGGGTTTGGCAGTTGTCAGGAGAACGATACTTGTCTGACAGCATTGTGCCAAGTGTAAAGTTTGGTGGAGGGGGGAATATGGTGTGGGGTCGTTTTGCAGGGGTTGGGCTTGGCCCTTTCGTTCCAGTGAAGGGAACTCTTAAGGCGTCAGCATACCCAGACATTTTGGACAATTTCATGCTCCCAACTTTGTGGGAACAGTTTGGGGATGGTCCCTTCCTGTTCCAACATGACTGCGCACCAGTGCACAAAGCAAGGTCCATAAAGACATGGATGAGCAAGTTTGGGGTGGAGGAACTTGACTAGCCTGCACAGAGTCCTGACCTCAACCCGATAGAATACCTTTGGGATGAATTGTAGCAGAGACTGCAAGCCAGGCCTTCTCATCCAACATCAGTGCCTGACCTCACAAATGTGGTTCTGGAAGAATGGTCAAACATTCCCATAGACACACTCCTAAACCTTGTGGACAGTCTTCCCAGAAGAGTTGAAGCTGGTATAGCTGCAAAGGGTGGGCCAACTCAATATTGAACCCTACGGACTAAGACTGGTATGCCATTAAAGTTCATGTGCATGTAAAGGCAGGCAACCCAATACTTTTGGCAACCCAGTGTTCAAAAAATTTTTTCATCTTAGCCATTCAGCCACACTTTAGGCTATGTGTTCCAACAAATGCAGATTTTTGAAAATATCGTTCTCTGGTTTTTAAAACTATTATTCAGTAATGCAAACAGAATTGTTCAACGTAATCTAACTAAAAGCAGCCAATTAGAATCACTGATGTAACTAAAGTAAACTGAAATCTGAGTAGTGGTTAGACATTATTGCAGCATTACTATTTCTGTTTATGCTGTGTTTTATTGCTTTGCTGTGTATTACTTTTAAAATATTATTTTATATTTTGTATGATTTTTTATGCTTTTAAATGACTTTGTGTATTTTTCAGCAGGTCAGCTTGTGTCCCCGCAGTCTGCTCCCTCTTGCATTGAACATAAAAATGATGTCAGTCGAGAGAACAGCACTCTTGACGTTACCAAGGTAAGCACTGCAGAATAAAAGAAACAAAAGAGAATTAGACATTCAGGCATGAAATAAAAATCAAAGATTTTTCCAGTAAGTAGATGAGCGTGGTTCAAAGCAGAGCTTGTCAAGTGGATTATTTACTTGGTTTTAATAATTCAATTAGGACTTTTTTTTTTCCCCAAAAACACAGTGTACCGTCATTCTTATCGTTAATTGATTTTTCTTTCATAATTCTCTTTCTAAATATAATGTTAATGTTATAGAAGCTATGAATTATTTAGATGCCTTAGGAATATAAATGATCCCCACGTAGAGTTAAAGAGTGTGGCTGAAGTCCCAGGCTGTACTGAACCAAATTATGGAAGGTTTCCAGTGTAGAATTGGCCTACAACGTTTGCAGTATTAGAAGCATGATAGCAATTTGAATCCAATGCAACTGTAATCATTTTGGAGACCCCAGCAGTGAGATCTTCTGGAATTTTTGGAAAAAACCCTCTACTTCTACCATTTTGAAGCCATTAGAGGTAATCTTTTTTTCTGATGATAAATTCTCAATAATATAAAAATAAAAAGGAGAATTAAGTAGTGAATATGCCATCCTAATGTTATTACAGGCAGAGTGAGTAGATAACTCAGGGAGTTGATTTACCAAAGTAAAGTAGAGGCTATTAGCTAAGTGTTTAAGGTGAAACTGTTCATTTCAACCAGCTGATGGTGTGCAAATACAAATTCTGTTGTTTCTCTTTGCACAGAGTTGGTTACAAAGCTTTACCTACCTTACTAAGCTAAGGGGAAATTCACTTTGCAAAGCGAATGGTCTGTACTTCAGCCCCATTTTATTTATTTTTGGTGTGATCGTGGGCCCAGAGTAAAAGACCTTGATGATTATCTTGTCTTTAATTTAGTCTTCCTCAATCCTTACAAATTAGCCTTTTCTTTGCCCATGCAAAGTTAAAAATTCAACACTTTCATGTAGAGTGAGCATGCAACCCACTCCCCTCTCCACTGTGACTGTTCTGAGTGCTTTGTTCAGCAATGCCACATGGTCTGAATAAGGATTCTATTGGCCTGTGTGAGCTATGAAAAGTAATTTTGGAGCTTATACAGTTTTTTTCTTTTTATCCCAGTGGCTGATTAGATTGGTTTAGGAGCAAAAAAATGACAAGTATATGCTGCTGGGGAAAGGGAGTTAAGTGACCCTTTTACTTTGCCTCAAATAAGCAAAAGAAAACATATGGCTAGGATATAGACATTTAAGTACATATACATTCTTAACAAGCATCACATGCATTTTAAATGATGTTTTCACTGACATTTGTATCTGCAGACACTGTGAAGTAATTCATCCACAAAGTCTACATAAGAATTGCTAAACTCATTCATCTTCTCTGAGATACTCAACTCTTCCTGATTCCCCTTCTCAACGTGACTCAACAGTCTCCCAGCCTTCTAACCTCTAAACAAAGTCCCTCTGGGAGTGGGAAAAGAGTTAGTCCAGTAGCTGAAATAACAGCTTGGATGACTGCAGTACTTCTGCTGTAAACTTTTAAGATCATTCACTCCATGGTGCCTGCAGCTAAGGCCTAACGTCAGTGAGGGTTTAATTTAAAGCTAATTATCACTTTTTAAAAATGTAATGGATATACATTCTTGAATGTCACAGGCTTTCTTTACTGAGAAAAACACAAAGGTGTGCAAATCTCCTTCTGAAAATGCTAATTTTCTGGGTGCAATGTATGCTGTATTAGATGCATACCTTTTTCTGATTTGGTGACTCATAAAGGGCCCAAGTCAAGCAGCTAGCATTTTCATAGGGAGATCATCAGTGACAGCACCCTTTTATTTCTTTCAGTGTAGTTTTGCTTTAAAGGCTAAGTTAACTCTTTACATAAACTGGGTCATGCATACAAGGCAGTTTGCCTCTTGTAAAAATATTGTTAAAACATATTGTCTAATGCAAATACCATACCTGTGGGCCTTTACTTTAGTTGTTCTCAAAGAGGTTTCGGCCAGATTTCATGGGAGACAAAAGTATACAGGTATGGTAATTGCATTAACCTCTTTCTGCCCAGTCCTGGGGTCTCTTTAATAGGGTCTGTTTGCCTGGGGGGACAAGGAGCATTGGCCAATCATGTGACCACTGTGATTGGCTGTCATAGGGTAAGAGATTAAACAAAATGTTTACAAATAGCACAGTGTATTTTAAACTATTTGGGTCCCTTGTCTGCAAGGTTAACATAGCATTTAAGGAATTATGCAATTGCATTCAGTGCTTAGATCTGCAGTATAAATGCCCATTGACCAAATGACTGATTATAAGAGCATGGTAATCTTGGCCAATATTTTTCAACAGTTCACAAATATTTTATTATCATGTCGTTGTAAAATTAGAAAGTTTGATTTTTCTCATTTATGTTAATTATACTAAACTGAGTTAATTTTTTTTATTAATTGTGCTTACATTATATTGTTTTATTTTATTTTTTGGCAAATGAAGTATATAAATATTTGACAAAAACACAGAAATCTCTGGTGCTTTCTTCACAAATTTTGGGGAAATGCCAGGTAAATTTGCATGGATAATCTTGTAAACGGTGACAGGGAATGTGTGCTGGTGTCTAAGGAAACAGATGGCAGATAGAGCTTACTGTATTAAATGTCCATCTTTACAGAGTGCTGGAGATTTTGGTCATTGTAGCCTAGGTTTGGCTGAGGACACATACATGATCTATTAAATTATTGGCATCTAAACAAAGAACTCCACTCTAAGCAACAATTTTAGGTGGGAGATCTATTAAAAATAATATATGATGCTAGGAAATGAAGGGTGCAAAAGAGAAGTATGGGGTTATGAAAAAAATAAACAGCCATACTCCCCTCTATGATGCAGTATATGTGTGATTCTACAGCTGTCCCATGTCAACTCTAAGACTGAGAACTGAGAGATCACATGACTACTGATTTCTCTATTCTTGGTCTGCTCAGAGCAAAAAAAGCAGTGACTGTCAGTCACTGCTCTCTGTTCTGTTCCTCCGGCACTCACTGTAGCACCAGGCAGGCAAGGAACCGCTGGCTCCAGCTCTCAGCCATGCGCTGAAAGGCAGAGCCACCCGTGCAGCTGGGTGGATCAGATCCTTCCAGAGCCTGGAGCAGCTTTGCCTCATCACCTGATGGTGGACAATCACCCGCTATCTGTTGACTCTGGGTCACAGGAGAACAAAAGTAACTTCTTTTTAAGTGCCTCTTTTACTTTTCCCTGCATGGGTCACTTTGATGAGAGTGAGTATAGACAATTTTCTGGAGAGGTCTAATTATATATTTTTTTTCATACAAGATTCACAGTTTTCACCCAGGATTAACACATTTTCCCAATAGAATCAAATTAGAAAGCTATGTGTATCATGGGTAAAAACATTTTATAAATGTACCTCTTCAGTGGTATCATTGGTTTTGCAAATCAGCAAAGATACACGTTAGTAGTCTCCCTGATAAAAACTAAGATAGAAAAAATATTATATGTAGTAGTCTAGACTGTGCTGCCCTGTACTGTCAAATGAAAGGGTCCCTTTTATTATCATTGAGAATCAATGGGAATCATATTGTGGAAGTGCCCACCCACCTTTGCATAATCATAGCCAAAGCTGTAAGAACAGGGAACAATGCTTCTGCACAGGTGAAGAGGAGTATGAAAGAACAATTGTTCCACCGCTACTTTTGAGCTGGAGAGATCCCATGAATAATGTTTTTGTACAAAGAAAGACATTATATGTTTATGATTTTGGTGTAATTTTACTGTATGATCAGTCGTGCTTAGCAAAACTATATTTAAAGATTAAATACTATTTGTAAGACCTTCTTTTGAAGGTTGTAATTTATTTATGTGACTGTTGCTTCCAGACAAAATCAATTCCATTTATTTTTAATACTGCACATTACTTTATTTGAACATTAATTTCAAAATACTGACCTAGTAAGCGTTCCCTTATAAATAGTTTATAGTTGGCCAAATGGAGACAACTCCAAACATATTCTACTATTCAGAAATGCATCACTTTTTTTTTAAGATAACTTTATCGTTTACACAGAAACAATAATAGTACAGACAGGAATAGCTTTCATTCCCTCCACTGGCTCCCGATTGCCCAACGCATTAAATTCAATCTACTAACACAGACATACAAAGCCATTAATAACGCTGCCCCAAACTACCTCACCGACCTGATACCCAAATACCACCCAACCCATACTCTTGGCTCCTCACAAGACCTCCTACTTTCTAGCTCCCTGGTCTCCACCTCCCACGCCTGACTGCAGGACTTCTCCAGGACTTCCCCCATCATCTGGAACTCACTACCCCAATCCATCAGACTGTCACCTACCCTCCTCACCTTTAGGCGCACCCTGAAAACCCATCTCTTCAGGGAAGCCTACCCCGCCCTCACCTAACAGCCGATCTCTTCCACTCCTCCTACCACTCCATCCCCCACAGCCACTTCCTCCTGTACCACTATTCCATCCCTCCTAGATTGTAAGCTCGAAAGAGCAGGGCCCTTGACCTCCTCGTGTTTTGTTTTGTTACTGTATTGTCTCATGTTCTGTCCCCCACTATAATGTACAGCGCTGAGCAAACTTTTTAGCGCTATATACTGTATAATAATAATAATTCCTGTCTGTACTATTATTGTTTCTGTGTAAATGATAAAGTTATCTTTAAAAAAAATTGAATAGAAATGGCGAGCCACATAAATCCAAAATATCCAATTATTATGCTGATAGCTGATACAGGAAGATCATATATAGCATAAAGACATAATAAAGTATACTACATATAGAGGGTACAATAGTCAAAAGATAAGAAGCGTATAGTCACGGTAGTATCCATGAATCATGAGGTACAAAAACAGGTTCTACAATGGAAGTAGTCAAGATAAAGCTAACGTTTTGTGGTCTGGATATATAATTTAGCAATCATTGGTAGGGGCTCACAGAAAAGGAAGGCCAGTCCTGTGTTTCAGCACCAAAACAAATTTGCCAAGTTGAGTGAAAATGTGGAGGTGGGAAACAAAGATGGCAGGAAGGCATTGCTAAAGACTTGGTGTAAGAGGGAAGGATTTGGGTTTCTAGAGCACTGTGCTGACTTTTCATTAGGGTATAACCTACAGTGGATATAAAAAGTCTACACACCCCTGTTAAAATGTGAGGTTTCTGCGATATAAAAAAAACGAGACAAAGATAAATAATTTCAGAACTTTTTCCACTTTTAATGTGACCTATAAACTGTACAACGCAAATGAAAAACAAACAAATCTTTTAGTGGGGGAAGTAAACATAAAAAACTAAAATAATATGGTTGCATAAGTGTGCACACCCTTAAACTAATACTTTGTTGAAGCACCTTTTGATTTTATTACAGCACTCAGTCTTTTGGGGTATGAGTCTATCAGCATGGCACATCTTGATTTGGCAATATTTGCCTACTCTTCCTTGCAAAAACACTCCTAATCTGTCAGATTGCAAGGGCATTTCCTGTACACAGCCCTCTTCAGATCACCCCACAGATTGTCTTTGCGTCCTTGATTTCCTTTTTACATATTCTGGTATATTCTTTATAACATTTAAATGATGATACTGTTCCTTCATTTTTATATTTTGTAAAAGAACTTTTCTTATTATTTATAACTTTGTTAAATGTGGATGTTTGCCACTTAGGTTTTATTTTTAGGCCTTTTATACTTATTGCTCATGGGAAAATATTTTGCAGAGTGTCTCTATACAGTCTCTATGAAGAATTCCCATTTTTGTTCTATGTTCATTGATGCCAATATTCCCACCAAATCTAAGTCTTGGAAAATTTAAGTGTTTTTATCATTCCAGTGTGTGTTTTTTGTTTACAACCAACATTAAATGAAATCATGTTATGGTCATTGCTACCCAGATATTCTTTATATCAATATTAGTAATAAGCTCTGCATGGTTTGAGATTACCAGGTCCAGCAGAGCATCATTCCTAGTTGGAGCCTCTATGAACTGTACCATAAAATTGTCTTATAATTGGTTTATACATTTTTGCCCTTTAGCTGTTCCAGCAGTGCCAATACTCCATTATCACATTTTGCTTGTGTTTTGCTGATCTTTTTTAGTAGTACAAATAGTACTATAATTTCCAATGGTTGTTTGTAACATGGGAACCTTCTTATTACCTGCCATGACCCTCTCCCCATCTATCCCCATCCCATCCTCCAGTATTGTCTGACCCCTAACTGACCTGTCTGCCCCATTGAATTCTAGTTCACCCTTTTCCCTCAATCCTAGTTTAAATACTCCTCTAGCCTTCCCATAAACCTCTCCCCAAGCACAACAGACCCCCTTCCATTTAGGTGCAAACCATCTTTAGCATATACAGTGGATATGCAATTGGTAAAGGATAGATACCAGAGTGTCAGAGTGTAGGTAAAGTTGATCCAGGGGATACCTGATTGCCTCTTGGGGGATCAGGAGGACATTTTTCCCCTGCTGGAGCAAATTGGATCTTTATTGGCATTTTTGCCTTCCTCTGGATCAACTGTGGGTATAGGATTGTGTTTGTAGGATTGTATATTTTTTGTCCCTTTTATGGGTTGAACTAGATGGACTTTTGTCTTTTTTTCAACCAGACTAACTATGCAACTATGACACAGTTTGTGCAGAGGCTACCCAAGAGGACCAGCCTATATGGATTCTTTTGGGGCAACTTCATGGCTTCATAGGTCAACTTATAAAGTGGAATTGCTTGAATAACTAAAGTTATCCAAGAAGTGACAGTGGGAGGGGTCTGTGATATCCACCACATTGTTATAGAGTTTTTAGTGTAAAAAAAGCAACAAGAACAAAAAAGACTTCATGCTCTGAGGAAGACTATCATTATCTATATAACCTAAGAGCTAAAGTCATGGATGACAAATATTAGGTTGTTGTATAATCGAGCAAATAAAACCCGTAACCCTTGACCAAAAGGTCTAATAGGTCGTCATTCCCAAATCATATGGAAAAATGTATCATCCACCACCATGTACTTAGAGCAAGCAGCAGAGGGTAGGTTACCAAGGCAGAAAAGAAGGCATGGAGTGTAATAGGGTCTATAATCAAATTTATCCTGTATGACCTTATCCCTAGATAAGATGACTATAGGGACTTGCAAGGGAATCAGTTCCTGCCACACTTCCTCTGTGAGATCTGGAATATCTGCTCTCCAATGGGTTTTAGTGCTTTGAAGACGTTAAGTTTTAGAGTGAAGTCAATAAGAATAATATTTGCAAATAAGTTTAGAATGTGTTGAGTCACATAATACATTTTTTAATGCAGGGGGTTGCAAGATACATTATTTAGGCCGAACTGAGATGCTGCCATGTGTTGCAATTACAAATATCTAAAATAGATTGTAGAGGGAAGCTTATACTCCTTTTGGTACTGTGAAAAGGGGTGAAAAGCAGCTAATGAGTATAAATGAGAAGTTAGTTTAACCCCAGAACAGTCCATCCATCTTTTGATAGATTTTTGATAGGAGTGGATTGTGCCACAAAGGAGCATTAGGGGAGGCCTGTAGCTTAGAAAGGCGAAATATGAGCAATGTCATAGCTAGTATGATAGTACTGGCTCTGCCCATGCTGGAATGTCTGTGTAATAAATTTTGCAATTATTGGATAAAAAGTAAGCATGGCCGCTTCCAGGGCCGCAGCAGCGTTATCAGTTTCAGGGTAAAGTCACCAATGGGCATGAGCTAATTTAGAAGCAATATAATAAGTTTGAAGGTTAGGAACAGCAAGACCTCTTTACATAATAGACAATTTCAGGGCATCCTTAGCTACTCTGGCTGCACTGCCTCCCCAGATAAAGGATGTTGGGATTGAATCAATCTCTTGAAACCTATGTTTAGGGATATATACTGGATAATTATTTAGGACACAGAGGAAGCATGACAGGAAGATCATCTTAAAAATATTTACTCTACCCCAGAGCGTCAAAGGGAGATTATTCCAAACTTTAAGAGTATTCTTTAATTTATACAAAAGAGGGTCCATATTATTTTGAAGATATTGGGAAAGAGGACGTTGTATCATTATACCCAGGTATCAAAAGTTTTGGACAATGTTCAAAGGACAAGAGGGTGGAAGGGCAGTAAGGGGGTCCTGATCTAACGAACAGTTAAGAGATTTTTCCCAATTTACTCGAAAGCCCGAATAATGTCCAAAATTCTGAATAACATCTAAAAAGGCAGGCACTGAAGTTTGTGTATTTTCAAGATATATAAGCATGTCAACTGCATATAGGGAAATGTTTTCTTCCAATCTGTTAATAGTCAGCCCAGGTATAGTACAGTTGGGTTGGAGCAATTCGGCTAAGGATTCTATTGCCAGAGCAAATAGCAAGGGTGTTAGGGGGCAACCCTGTCTGGTCATTTTAGTAATGAACTCAGAAACATAATTCTCACCCTTACTCTAGCCTTTGGTTTATGGTACAACAGTCTGGTTCACCTAAGGAATCTAGGTCTGAAGCCAAATTTCACAAATATTTCTAAGCGATAAGGCTATTCGAGTCAAAGACCTTATGGGTGTCTAGTAATAATAGAGCCCTAGAGCCCATAACATCATGTGTGGCTTGCAAATTAGTAAACAACCTGTGTAGGTTCACAAATTCATTACTGACTTATATGTCTGTATCTAACCAAAGCGTCCATCAGTAAACCAACAGGATAGATGATGAAATGTAAGCTTGAGCTTCTTTATAACTCATACAAAACCTTCACATAATGCTCATAGGATGCTATTTTGTGATAATATTTCAACTTTTTAAATCCATATCTTGTTTGAACCTGTAAAAAAATTGCTCCCGATGTAGGTTCCAAGTCTTGCATAGATGTCACATAGCTTATGCATATAACATCCCTGCAAGTCTATTAGTGGATTAAAGAATGTATAATAGTTAAAAGGAGAGGTATAGAAATGAAATAAAGAAATGATGCACCACTCAAAAAGTTTAATAAGAGTCAAAATTAAGGTAGTGATATTTGTTAGAAAACAGTGTGTGTTTAATCAGTGGCTCAGCTCTTGCTGCAATACTTGCCTACTCTCTGGCACTGTCCCCTGAAGACCAACTCTGGATCCAGGACCGGGCTCTTCATTTGTGTCAAATAATACCTCTCCAATGATGCAGAGAACTGTGCAGATGTCATCATGTTCTCTACATCTTTGAGGACCAGCCAGCACCAGAGAAGAGGTGAAGAAGAAGACGCTGCATGTCACGTAAAGACTTAGGAAAAAGTTAAATAAAAAAAAAAAAGCAGAAAATATATGCTGGTGCTGGGGGGCATCTGGAAGTAAGAGGGGATGACTGGAGAGTGGGTGGAGGATAAACAGAGTTGGAATTTATATTACTTGAATGATCTTTATATGAAAGCTTTCACATATACCACGCACAATAAGTTCAATGTCAATAATTTATTTAGAAACATATATTTAAAAACAACTGTATATTTATGAGCTTTCATAATTTCTTTCATTTCTAGTTTGATTTACATTTTATGAAAAAAAATCCCTCCTGGGGCAGAAGCTTCCAACATCTTAGTTGGTGAACTGGAATTTTTAGATCGAGCTGTGGTTGCGTTTGTTAGACTTTCTCCTGCAGTTTTGATCAATGGCCTTACAGAAGTCCCCATTCCATCAAGGTATGTTTTTTTTTCTGCATGTGAGTTTGTAGATCAGTACTTGATGTAGAAGATGACTAGCTATCATTTGCTACAGATGAAGCCAATGGTATTTCAAAACTAAAGTAGTTTACCCAAAAATAAAATTGCTAGCAGAAAGATATTTCATTGCAGAAATCCATGCTATCTCGTATACAATAAAAGTGTCTTACTTTCCTGCTCATACACTTCTTTAGAATGTACAGTGAAGCCAGCCAATCAAAATGGCCACATTCGATCTCTGACAGTGCCAGAGATTGTGTCAGAGCTGATGACATCCCAGACATCGAATCAGAGCTGATGACATCACCCCCTTGTACCTAATTAACATCAATGTTATCACCCTTGAACTGAGGCAATTTAAAGCCACAAAACAAGTTTTATTTGGTGAAAAATAAATTTGGTGTTCACAAAAGCAGACAACTATGGCCCATTTTTTGACATATAACTTTAGGCACCTGTGATGATCGGACCACCAACAGGTTATTTTTGAAGCTCCTCTTGTACTTACTGATTTCATACCTCCACCTGAGGACCCTACAGAGGACCCAGGATGGAACCCCAAGGCATAGGGAGCAGCCACCTGCGTACTTGGAAGGTTGTGCATTCCCACCCATAGGGGCAGCCCCAACAGATGCAAGATATTCCTGTTGTGGAATCCCACTTTGAGTCATTTCACTTTTATGAAGCAATTTACCCTTTTTTAAGCACTTTGCTACACTATAAGTACTTACCCACTTCCCTCTTTTCTGTTGGACACCCTGAGACTTATGAGAAGCCACTAGCCAGCTCTTCAGGATCTAACCTTTTGGTCCAGAGTTGACCACTACACCTTTGATACTTGCTTGCAATTAGAATTCCAGTTAATTCCAGGACTCTGTGCAGGCCTCCACACCATACTGGCCAAACCATGACTTTATTGGATGCACACAATTTTCTAAAATGTTTTTGTAAGCTGTAACATTAACAGTACCCTTCAATGAAAAACACCTAAATCCTGAATTTAGAGGAATGGCCAAATACTTTTGGCTCTATAAGTAGGTGTGATGGTCAGTTGTTCATAAACTCTTGACCATATAGGATATGTGGTATCTGCAGCCATAAAAGCATTTGTTTACTGCAGTTTTTCACTTCTTACTTGAAATACACAAACGCCGAGAAAACCTATCAGAACTGTTTTTGTAAGCTTCTTTTATTTTTTGCAAAGATAAGAATAACTTTTCATGGTTATCTGCCAGTAGTGAATCAGCCTTCATTTTTGTAAATCATAAATTTGCATGGCTCTACTATTATCATTACTGCTACCATAATGCAGCATTATATAAGCTAATTCTATCTTTTAATAACTGAACACATCCTTCTTGTTCATCTTGCTATGCAGATTTCTGTTTATACTACTGGGACCACTTGGAAAGGGACAGCAGTATCATGAAATTGGACGGTCAATTGCCACTTTGATGACAGATGAGGTAATTTTTCTCCAAATGTATTTGAAGCAATGTTTATTGGTATCTGAAGAATTACACTCAAAATAGCTTGGAATGTTTTTTTTTTATTTTGGGCAAGTACAAATGGTGGAGAGGATCTGAGGATGAGGAATAGAAACAATGTGCAGGAAGTGTCCCCTGCATGGAAGCTCCGGAGGTACATGCTATCCCTGTTACAACACTACTAGCCATGCATTAGTTTGGCTATACAAATAAACACAAATAAGGCCTAACATATATATATATATATATATATATATATATATATATATATATATATGTATATATACAGTTGTGTTCAAAATAATAGCAGTCAGACATCACTAACCTGATCAATCACTGTTTGGTAGAAATGATATTTCTACATGGCAAATAATTTACTAGCAGGTGTAGTAGAGTAATAGAAATGAAAACGGACCCAACAGTCATGACATGCATGCTGCTGATTCTGTGTAATTGAATCACTAATTGAAAGGGGCATGTTCAAAATAATAGCAGCGTGACGTTCTATTAGTGAGGTCATTCATTCTTTGAAAAACAGGTGGCAATTATTGCCCTTATTTAAGGAAGGAAGGCAGCAAATGTTGTACATGCTGGTTACAGTGCATTTCTCTCTGAAATTCTGAGGAAAATGGGTCGTTCCAGACATTGTTCAGAAGAACAGCGTACCTTGATTAAAAAGTTGATTGGAGAGGGGGAAAACATATAAAGAAGTGCAGAAAATGATAGGCTGCTAAGCTACAATGGTCGCAAATGCTTTAAAATGGCAACCAAAACCTGAAAGACGTGGAAGAAAGCGAAAAACTACCATTCGAATGGATAGAAGAATAGCCAAAATGGCAAGAACTCAGCCAACAATCAGCTCCAGGAAGATCAAAGAAGGTCTAAAGTTACCTGTGAGTACTGTTACAATTAGAAGACGCCTATGTGAAGCCAAGCTATCTGCAAGAAGCCCCCGCAAAGTCCCACTGTTGAAAAAAAGACGTGCTGAAGAGGTTACAATTTGCCAAAGAGCACATTGACTGGCCTAAAGAGAAATGGCGCAACATTTTGTGGACTGATGAAAGTAAGATTGTTCTTTTTGGGTCTAGTGGCCGGAGACAGTTTGTCAGACGACCCCCAAACACTGAATTCAAGCCACAGTACACTGTGAAGACAGTGAAGCATGGTTGCGCAAGCATCATGATATGGGGATGTTTCTCATACTACGGTGTTGGGCCTATTTATCGCATACCAGGGATCATGGATCAGTGTGAATACATCAGAATACTTGAAGAGGTCATGCTGCCTTATGCTGAAGAGGAAATGCCCTTGAAATGGGTGTTCCAACAAGACATCGACCCCAAACACACCAGTAAACTTGCAACATCTTGCTTCCAGACCAACAAGATTGACGTTATGGAGTGGCCAGCCCAATCCCCGGATCTTAATCCATTAGAAAACTTGTGGGGTGACATCAAAAATGCAGTTTCTGAGGCAAAACCAAGAAATAGAGAACTGTGGAATGTAGTCCAATCATCTTGGGCTGGAATACCTGTTCACAGGTGCCAGAAGTTGGTTGATTCCATGCAACACAGATGTACAGCAGTTCTCAGAAACAGTGCTTATACGACTAAATATTAATTAAGTGATTCAAAGGAAAGCAAAATCTTCAAACATGTTTCAGTTTATATAGTGAATGTTTGAGTTTGTAAAGAAGAATACAAACACTGCTATTTTTTTGAACAGTCTAATATTCATTATCTTCAATTTTTTTAGAGGAACAACACAAATTTGATATATTTTTCTTCATGTTTTGATTTGGAATAGAATGTGTAGTGTTCCCAATGCAATTTTTTTGTATAGAAATAAAAGCTATTAGAAGGATTTTGAGCTTTATTCACTTTTTTCAACACACTGCTATTATTTTGGACACAACTGCATATATATATATATATATTAGTGCTGCTTTTTACACCCGGTCCAATGACAGCTTGCTTCAATAGGTACACTGGAAATAAAGCGGTTAAAGAAGCTTGGAAAGTGTCATGAAAATTCACGAGTTTGCTGTCAGCAGCTGAAACCAGGTCAGGCTTTCATGATAACCACATAAATTATCTTGCTGGGATACAACCCTGCTGTCCTTTATGCTGCAAGATAGGAAATATAGGATACTGGACTTGTCTAGCTGACAAGTGCTATAGCGGCTTTTTTGCAGGCCGCATTAATGCAAGATGGACCACTTAGAATTCCTTTTATAAATGATTAAACTAATATGATAAATTAAACACATTGTAAAATTTTATATCATCCTAACATGATTCCTGAAACATACGATCAGAAGTCTAGATACTACAAAAGAATTTAAATATAACAACAAGACCTGGCAGAGGCATATATTAAAGGGCAAGGTAATTTAACATCTGTCTGTGAATGGCAAGTCATTATCAAAAATCGGTTTCTGATGTCTTGGATACCCTGGACAGACATTTACACCTGGGCTCAGAATTCTGTCCATATGTTACAGCCATGTTTACTACTCGTGCTGTTTAATTTACTCTCTGTATTCTATTTTTATTACTAAGTATATTACAGTACCGTATACATCCTGCCTGCTGTAAATCAAAAGTAAAACCCTTACCACTCTAGCTCAACAAGTAAAAATTCTTTGCTTGGCTTCCAATTAGTGTGGTAGGGATCAAAGCAGAGTCAGAGCAAAAAGTCAAAAATCTGTTTGGGCCCATGAAGACAAAGAATGATACAAGAGGACAATGCAGAAATCATCCTACCATCATCCTCCTCTTTTAGCAGACATGCCAATCTCAGGTTGATTTAGCTATTAAAAGGAAAATACAAAAAATATAGTGGACATAGCTTTGGCCCTACTTGATGCTTATATCTTTTGTCATATTTCATGTTCTCCAGCCTATTGCCATAGGGCTAATCTGTCTGCATTAAACATTTAAAGAAACATACCACTGTGCTTGAAAGCGCTTCTAGCCATTTTACATTATTCCGCTCCAAACCTTGCAGATCCCACCACTACTCACCCCATATGTACCATCACTGGCATCACCATCACTACTGGCATCGGTTGCAGTGATATAATAGGCTACAAAGGATACAGTTTCATGCTACAACGTTGATACTTTAAACTAAATAAACTCAGGTTTCCAGCAGGAACCCCCCCCATATGCCATCATATTCTATCCGCACCTCATAATTGACCCCCTCTGTTCTTTTGAGCCTTTGTGTAGCAGCATAGGCCAAACACACAGAATGTATGTCGCTAAGACCTCTGAGTATATAAGTTCTCATACAGTATGTGTACAGAAACTCTTAAATGTAACATTCTTTTGATTAGGCTAAAATCATCAATGGAGAATTTGGGAACATAACTTATGGCATCCACAGTAATACTCCCTACCTCCCTATTTGCCTTCCCTGCTGGCATCACCTCTTTCACACATTTCAAACATTTTCTTGTTTTACTAGTCCTTAATATTGTAAATTGTACTTGTGGATATACAGAGGTTAGTCAAAAAATGGAAATACTGCATGATTTGCAGATGCAAAATTGACCACATTGTGTGTTGAAAACAGAAGTGATATATCATTATTTTGCTTCCGCTGTGTAATGAGACACCTAGCTAACAGGTGGGAAGCCTCACTTTTGTAATTCATTGCGTGCGTTGCTAGTAAAACGGAGTCATGTCAGAGCTTACTGAGCTTCAAAGAGGGCAAATTGTTGGTGCCTGCTTAGCTGGTGCCTCTGTGATTGAAGTTGTTGATTTATTTGCCGTGTCGTGAGGACCAGTGTCAAAGGTTACAATGGCATATACAGTTTCTCAGAAAATGTTGTCTGATAATCATAAGCGCGGTTGACATAGTCAACTGAGCAAAAGAGACAAAAGGACATTGCCCAGGATTGTGACCCAAAATAAGTAAAAGCAACTGCTGCAAAAGTGACTGCAGAGCTCAATCTCAGTCTTCACGAGATGGAACTGACAGTTGCCACGTCTCCTCGGTGATTCATGTGGGATGGGAGCCCGAATGCATCTCAGAAATTAAGGATAACAAGCAAAACCATAGTGTAGTACCATATGAACCTATTTATTTAAAATACGTAGTGTGCACTCACAATGCCTCTCTAAGACATGTCATGTAAACCAGTGTCCCTCCAGGCAGACAAAGTGGACCTGGCCACCAATCAAGTGTGTGATGAGGTTACACTCGTAGGCCCCATTCACTAGTTCAGTGGTCATTATAATCTGTTAAGAAACTTGAGAGTGTCCTTTTTACCCCGGTGCGTGGATCTGATCTGTATCACATGAGTGATTACAGCTTTATCACTTTATGAACTTATTTTATATATATGTGGTCTTTTATATTGTCTTTTTTATATTGTTGTTTAAGACACAATTAGAGCATTGGTGATCATAGATCAGTTTGCATGGTCAGAGCAAACATTTTTGTTTGTTTTTGTGTTATTTTATGATTTAGCATTGTTTGGCATTCTTTATGTTATAGCACTGCACACTTTTCTAATGCTCATATTGGGATTTGGTATCACAAATTCATTGTGTTGGCTGCTTTTCTTTATGTAACCTAAGCGCATTGATTATTTTACACTATGAGTCTCCAGCCACAAGCCTACTGTGTCTAAAGGTAAAGCAGATTCTTCTTGAAACTTTTTCATATATGTTTGTGAAGGCTGTAATTTACCTGGCCCTTTGGTGAAAGCTATGATGTTGACTTTCCTTCAGTAGACAGACTGAAAGTGTTCTGCTTACAGTGATGTCTAAAGTGTGGTTTTGTACATTAAAAGTAAACTTAAAAACAATTAAAGCAGCCTTTGTATTTATGTCCTGATAGGTATTTCATGATGTTGCGTATAAAGCCAAGGATCGTAATGATCTTGTCTCTGGGATTGATGAATTTCTTGATCAAGTGACAGTGCTTCCACCTGGCGAGTGGGATCCATCAATCCGAATTGAACCACCTAAAAATGTTCCTTCACAGGTAAGTGTTTCACTTTACTAATCTGCATCTTGACATCTGCTTTTGGTTCTTGATACAAAACTGGACTATGGGAACCATCTTTCCTATTTCACTGTGGTAATGGAAATAGACACTGCATACTTCAAGCCAATGGTTTGACATTTATTCATAAGACAGATTTTTCGACCATTTATTTTTTAATCCAATTACTTGTTCATAAAATGTATTTTAATTTTACTCCTATATGTGTTCATAAAATTGTTTCGAAATCATAAAATATATTTTGTGCTTTTAGAAATATTTTTTCACTAGAAAATTAGTTTGTAGATGATAAAACAGCACTGTAATATTTAAACTGCAAAGGTGCGATGGATTGTATCTACAAACACAAAATGCATCTACACTCACTGGACACTTTACAAGGTACACCTGTTCAATTGCTTGGTAGCAGTTCAATGTATTTAGGCATCTATACATGGTGAAGATGACTTGCTGAAGTTCAAACCAAGCATGATAATGGAGAAGAAAGGTGATTTAAGTGACTTTGAATGTGGCATGGTTGTTGTTGCCAGACGGCTGGTCTGAGTATTTCAAAAACTACTTATCTACTGGGATTTTCCCACACAACCATCTCTAGGGTTTACAGAGAATGGTCTGAAAAAGAGAAAAATATCCAGTGAGTGGCAGTTGTATGGAGGAAAATGCCTTGTTTATGTCAGAGGTCAGAGTAGAATGGGCAGACTGGTTCAAGATTATAGAAAGTCAACACTAACTCATGTCAATATGGACCAAAATCTCTGAGGAATGTTTCTAACACCTTGTTGAATCTATGCCATGAAGAATTAATTCAGTTCTGAAGGCAAAAGGTGGTCCAACCCAGTACTAGTAAGGTGTACCTAATAAAGTGGCCGGTGAGTGTATGGCATTTAGTATGCACAAAAATTCTATTTCAAAAGAGATGCATTGTGGATTTCAGTTTCCATCACAAAACAGCCTCATTATTTCTGCATAACTTTCCTGGAAGGGTTGGGATGAGCTGGGGCCTTTTGTTTTACCTCCTTCTGGTCTGGCATTGATTACAAACCGTGCAAAGAGACTGGCAGAGGCAGAGAACACACAGCTGTATGGTCCCACGTTGCTATTATGCACTTTCAAATCCATCTATAGCCTGATTGGTGCACCTAAAACTGCTCAGTGATGCTGAAACAAGCATCGTGACAGCTGGAAATGGGGTCCCAGGTGTAAAAGATAAAGGATGCACACATTGGTGGAAGGTGGGATATTTGGTATCTTTGCCCTGGGCTCTGGGCACCTTGTTCTGTGTGTTTATTTTTCTGCTCCTTGCCCTGTGCTTTTAATCTTGCAAATGTTTGCTATTACTGCAATATCATTTAGAAACAATGCTGTCATTTCCGCATCTTGTATTTCAGGAAAAGCGTAAAACACCAGGGGTGCCTAATGGAACAGCAGCGTTAGGAGAACCGGAAGAACATGGAGGACACAGTGGCCCTGAACTAGAAAGAACTGGAAAGTGAGTTAATAATTATACTGCAGATTTGAATGGCTACTCTGTAGCGGATTGATGGACTTAACTTTAGTATGAGAACTGGGACTTACAACAACTCCTAACTAATAACAACTATGATTCAAACAAATGCCTCATACAGTAAAATTAACCTTTTCATAATCGGGTTCAAAGCAAACCTTAACTCCCAGACGCAATTTGCAACTTTGACATGTGTTAGTAAGACTGTACATATGATTGCAACTACTTTGTGTATCCAGGTGAATTATACCTTGTTTTTTCAGGACAAATTGGGCTTAGTTTTTTTATAAATGGTAAAGGATATCTAGATTTTTTTTTAAGGTAAACTGGCCCAAAATAGTAAAAAAAAATATTTTTTATTTAGCTGTATATTTCTTGCTATTTACTATAACGTACCACCAAAGAACAAACCAAAATAAATTGTCCTGCTCTTGACAATTGCAACGATTCCAAATATTTTTCTCTTTGGTAGTGTTGAGGCTCTCTCCTTTCATCGTTGTTTTTTTTTACCATGTGTATTGATTCATGTTTTTACTGCCATTAAAGATTTATACATTTTTCTTATTACAAGTCGCAGTTTGACCTCTTTTGGACCCGCGTGACTTAGGCATCTTGTGCCTTTGTCATTGTTTTCCCTTTTTGTTTCCCTCAGTTATGTTTGGGTCCTGAGGACACCACATGGCTATCTCCATGTGAGTCGGCATATTTTCTATGTATATGGAGGCCAGTATTTAGTTCATTACATATTTTCTGACCCCCCTTTTTCCTAAGTATTCTCACTATAGTCCATAGTTGGCAGTGTCCCGGTTACCCCCCCTTTGTCTATATGGACTGAACCGCCATTCCATGAGGATAGGACGCTGCAGAAGTCAGAGTGTATAGCTGGTGTAGGTAGAGGAAGCTGGCCCGCACCTCTGCTGCTCTGAGGCGCCTGTTCCATTCCAGCAGGCATCTTGGAGCAGCAGAGGATCTGGCCGGCTTCTTCCACCTACGCCAGCTATACACTCTGACTTCTGCTGCATCCTACCCTCGTGCAATGGCAGTTTGGTCACCTACCTTTACTGATGAGCCTGTTTATTTCATATACATTTGAGTTGCCTAACCACTTTGTTATGAAAGCTATCAAAAGTCTGCAATTAGAGGTGCTGTTTTCTTTCCTTGTTTTTTAAATGCTGACCTTTGACCCTTACCTTGACCTTAACACTAATCCTGATACTGACCCAAATCAACCCTTGATCTAGTAATTTTTTTTCTTACACACACTTGTTTGTTTACATTTTCCTCCCTTGTCAAGAAAAGAAAGACACAATGCATCTTCATCTCCATTCAGAGGAGAAAAAACCTCATGGGAGGGCTAAACAGTGACTGATCACTGTGATAGCCAGTCAGAGGCTCGGGAACTGGGTCTCCCGGTTCCCAATCATTAGCAGGAGTCCCAGGACTCTCGGTGACAGTCTAGTTTCTGTGCTGGGAGCACTAACAGAAGAACACATATATGTGGTGCCCAGGTTTAAAGCCCACCTCCTGGACACCGCATATATGTGCTACCGTGTCGTAAATGGCTTAGCTTGTACAGATGAAAGCATCTTTAAATTATTAAACACCCTCATTATTCTTTTGAAATAAGCATTTCTTCATCATGGTCAGAGTTGAACCCCCCTCCTTCCTGTAACATTAAGTCCAGTAGCAGGTGATACCTGAGTTACCTTTGACCGCTAGCTTGGATAGCTTGAAAAAGTGTCATTTCTCATCTTGCAAAAGAAATTGGCAGTGGAGCTGACTAATAAAAAGTGAGTGTATTGGTTGCTGTAGACAAGTGCATCTGTATTCTTTCTTTAAGTTCTTATAAATCCCCAGTCAGCTGTTTCACCTTCTAGTAGTCTTTTCTTCTGAGTGAGGCTAGCTAATGAAAGATGGTACTGTTACTGCATATAGTGGCTTTGAATGTCTGAAAAAAGATTGCACTTTTGCTTTGTCATAGAAGTACAAAACAAAAGGTTCATTTTACTACTTTCTCCATCTGCACATATTTTTCTTCCTTTCCTTCTCTGCTGTCCAGTTCAGCCAGTGGAAATTAAGAGAACTTTCCAACAAATCCTGGTATGAGGAGCATCTAATTCACCTCTCTTCTAGCGATTGGTTGCTCAAGCACCCAATCTTGTCATACAGGTTGATATTGAGTCCTCAGTCAAGTGTAAGCTCCAGGTGGAGCTAAAAAGCAAGTATGAGGAAGTGGAATACCTGACAATACAATAAACTTGTTACTTTTACCCTGCAATCTCTCTGGGCTCCCATTTGACAATGCTTCTTGTGTGAGCAGCCAATTACCAAGCAGCAGAACTGTCATGTGAGAGGAAAGGGAGACACATTTCTTCTGTATACTCTGGATATGTCAACTCACTTGCACAGGCAAATAGAGTAGTAAGGGTTAAAAGGAATGGACATTTTTAGAGTGTTACTAAACCCCGGACCCTGCATTCACTATCTGATCTCTCACAGTACACAGAACATGGAAATGCAATGATTTTAGTAAATATAAACTGCTAAATACCTTTTCTCATCAGCAGTTAAAGCAGTCTTGTGACTTCTATTAGTGTCCAGCAGCGCACATGTTAAAGCTTGTAGGAGGAGTTCTCATTATGCTCTAGGAGGATGCAGGATCCCTGAAAAGCCCCTCTCTAGCAATGCACACCAAACTGAGCATGTGCAAAGTGAATCCACCTGATATGTCTTATCAGGCGATAAGAGGGGGGCACAGGACGAATGGGAGGATCAGAGAAGACATGATCAAACAATCTTTTTATACAATGCAGAGGATTAGCTTCTTAAGGGTCCACAGCAAGTATAAAAAGCCTACTTTAGTGCATATACAGACTCATTTTACTGTTGTGGATTTAGTAACACTTTAAAATGAAAATGTTGCTTTTCATGGCTAAAACATATCTTTGCTTTAAAGTGGTTCTGAAGGTTAAAATTTTTTTCATTAAAATAATACATAAACACATCATATTTACCTGTTCTGTGCAATGGTTTTGCACAGAGCAGACCCCATCCTCCTCTTCTCGGGTCCCCCTCTCCCTTACTGAGTGCCCCCAGAGCCAGCAGTTTGCTCTGGGGGCACTTGTGCGTGCTTGCTCTATGGGACACACACAGCGTAGCACTGTCCCGCTCCCTCCTCACTAGCTGTGATTGACAGCAGCAGGAGCCAATGGGTCCTGCTGCTGTCTCTCAGCTAGTGAGGAGAGAGAGACCCAAGACGGCAGCCACTCTTGTGCGCATCACTGGATGGAGATTGGGCTCAGATGAGTATTATGGGTGCTGCGGGGGGAGCTACACACTGAAGGTTTTTTTACCTTAATACAGAGAATGCATGAAGGTAAAAATCTTTACCCTTTATAACTACAGTCAGGTCCATAAATATTGGGACATCGACACAATTCTAACATTTTTGGCTCTATACACCACCACAATGGATTTGAAATGAAACGAACAAGATGTGCTTTAACTGCAGACTGTCAGGCTTTTAATTTGAGGGTATTTACATCCGAATCAGGTGAACGGTGTAGGAATTACAACAGTTTGCATATGTGCCTCCCACTTGTTAAGGGACCAAAAGTAATGGGACAGAATAATAATCATAAATCAAACTTTCACTTTTTAATACTTGGTTGCAAATCCTTTGCAGTCAATTACAGCCTGAAGTCTGGAACGCATAGACATCACCAGACGCTGGGTTTCATCCCTGGTGATGCTCTGCCAGGCCTCTACTGCAACTGTCTTCAGTTCCTGCTTGTTCTTGGGGCATTTTCCCTTCAGTTTTGTCTTCAGCAAGTGAAATGCATGCTCAATCGGATTCAGGTCAGGTGATTGACTTGGCCATTGCATAACATTTCACTTCTTTCCCTTCAAAAACTCTTTGGTTGCTTTTGCAGTATGCTTTCGGTCATTGTCCATCTGCACTGTGAAGCGGCGTCCAATGAGATCTGAAGCATTTGGCTGAATATGAGCAGATAATATTGCCTGAAACACTTCAGAATTCATCCGGCTGCTTTTGTCAGCAGTCACATCATCAATAAATACAAGAGAACCAGTTCCATTGGCAGCCATACATGCCCACGGCATGACACTACCAATATTTATGGACCTGACTGTACCACCACCATGCTTCACTGATGAGGTGGTATGCTTAGGATCATGAGCAGTTCCTTTCCTTCTCCATACTCTTCTCTTCCCATCACTCTGGTACAAGCTGATCTTGGTCTCATCTGTCCATAGGATGTTGTTCCAGAACTGTGAAGGCTTTTTTAGATGTCGTTTGGCAAACTCTAATCTTGCCTTCCTGTTTTTGGGGCTCACCAATGGTTTCCATCTTGTGGTGAACCCTCTGTATTCACTCTGGTGAAGTCTTCTCTTGATTGTTGACTTTGACACACGTACACCTACCTCCTGGAGAGTGTTCTTGATCTGGCCAACTGTTGTGAAGGGTGTTTTTTTCACCTGGAAAGAATTCTTCAGTCATCCACCAGAGTTGTTTTCCGTGGTCTTCCGGGTCTTTTGGTGTTGCTGAGCTCACCGCTGCGTTCCTTCTTTTTAAGAATGTTCCAAACAGTTGTTTTGGCCACGCCTAATGTTTTTGCTATCTCTCTGATGGGTTTGGAGACAGCAAGGGGGTACGTTTTGTTTTTTCAGCCTAATGATGGCTTGCTTCACTGATAGTGACAGCTCTTTGGATCTCATCTTGAGAGTTGACAGCAACAGATTCCAAATGCAAATAGCACACTTGAAATGAACTCTGGACCTTTTATCTGCTCATTGTAATTGGGATAATGAGGGAATAACACACACCTGGCCAAGGAACAGCTGAGAAGCCAATTGTCCCATTACTTTTGGTCCCTTAATAAGTGGGAGGCACATATGTAAACTGTTGTAATTCCTACACCGTTCACCTGATTTGGATGTAAATACCCTCAAATTAAAGCTGACAGTCTGCAGTTAAAGCACATCTTGTTTGTTTCATTTCAAATCCATTGTGGTGGTGTATAGAGCCAAAAATGTTAGAATTGTGTCGATGTCCCAATATTTATGGACCTGACTGTACTTTGAATATGTTTTGTACAGCCTCTTTGGCCTTTTTAGATGTTTTTTTTCTTTTTAGGAGCTCCTCTCTAACATATCACTATTGTCTTCCCTCTAGATTTTTTGGAGGTCTGGTCATGGATGTCAAGAGGAAAGCTCCTTTTTTCTGGAGCGACTTCAGGGATTCATTCAGTTTGCAATGTTTAGCTTCATTCCTGTTCCTTTACTGTGCATGCATGTCCCCTGTCATCACATTCGGAGGTCTTCTTGGAGAGGCAACTGAAGGCCGTATAGTAGGTGTTGTACATAATCATAATCATGGCATGCAGTAGCCACACATATTGTATGAACTATGCTGAACATTGAACACATACTTTTACTTTGTCTAGAGTGCAATAGAGTCTCTATTTGGAGCCTCAATGACAGGAATAGCCTTTTCCTTGTTCGGGGGACAACCTCTTACTATTCTGGGAAGCACGGGACCAGTGCTGGTGTTTGAGAAGATACTGTTCAAATTTTGCAAGTAAGTACATTGTGAGTACATTGATTTTTAGGGGAGATTACATTTTATTGATCACACCATGTTCTCCATGTCCAAACCATTGAAAACGTAACTCCATTCAAATTTCTCTACAAGGGTATGTATACATACTATTGGTTCAACAATGTTTCTTAATTAAATGGATTCAGTATAACTGCACAATATCACTTATATTAAAGCTTCCCCTGTTGGTATTATACTTACCTGTCCCCAATCCAGTGAGATATTGCCCATGAAGACATAGAGCCGCTTGTCTTCTGATTCCAGTCTGTGCTTGCATTGTGCACTCTCCATTCAATCCAATGAAGATTTCGTACTCTACCAGATTCTATATACCGTATAAGAATTGGCCAGATGTACTACACAATTCCAGGATAAAAAATAAAGTCCTGGGAAGGCCTGTCATGCCCTGTGTGTGTATTTACACTCTAATTTTTTTAGCGTGTTTGAAAACTGGTCTCTAGGACTTGGCTATATGTGTATCACCTTATTAGCCAACTGCAAAGTCTATCAGTAAATCTGTCCTATAAATGCTTTTCTTTATACAGGGAGTATGGACTGTCGTATCTCTCATTAAGGGCAAGCATAGGTCTGTGGACGGCCTTCATGTGCATTGTCCTGGTTGCCACCGACGCAAGTTCCCTGGTGTGTTACATTACACGGTTTACTGAGGAAGCGTTTGCGGCACTCATCTGCATCATTTTCATTTACGAGGCCTTAGAGAAGCTGTTTCAACTAGGTGAGAAACATCCAATCAACATGAATAATAATTTGGAACTTCTAACACAGTATTCGTAAGTACAGTCTCCTTTTCCTATTAGTTATGAATTCCAGAAAGGGAGATAATTAGAAACCTGTAGAGTAAACCTCTCACTAGTTTCCAGTTCCTTAGATTACTGATTGATTGAGTCCTAAAAGTTGGAGTTGTGAAAGCCTTGCAGATTTTTTAGTTGTACTAAATTGAATTAATCAGTAAAAATGCTGGTAAAATTCCAGCATTTCCATTATTGTAGAATCAGTGAAGTGTGGTTAATTTCCAGTAGTACAGTAGTATATCCAAAAATGAAGGTTCAAGTTCCTTTAATCCTATGTGTTGCAGTAATTTTTGTTTCACGGATTAATATAACATGCGTTAACACACAGTAGTTTCTGCTTTCAGTGCCACTCAGAGTAGCGCCAAACACACAAAAGTACAGGGACAGGGAAAGCATTTGCGTCACATTCTCATGCTGTGCATTTTTGCATACGGCATTTAAAAAAAGAGTCATATACATGTTTTTATGCCGCTGGATTGCTTTGGAGGCTCATTCAAAATTAATAAACTACCTTAAAGTTCGTTGGGGCAAAATAAAAAAAACACCTTTTTGCTATACATGCCAGCAGAGTACAATAGTGCTGTAGGAGTGATTTCACTATCAACACTGACTGTGTTGATGGGGGAAATCAAACAATTTTCTTTCCTTCAACCTGTGGTGGAAGGTAAGAAATTTGTATAATCTATGGGCTGCCATAGTCTTGTAGTGGGTGGACAACACACAGCATTTTTGTGGACTGAGGGGTTGATTTACTAAAGGCAAATAGACTGTGCACTTTGCAAAGTGCAATTGCACTCTGCAAGTGCAGTTGCTCCAGAGCTTAGTAAATGAGGTAAAACTTCCCTTTGCCAAGAATACCCAATCACATGCAAAGAAAATTAAAAAATGCATTTCTGCTTGCACATGATTGGATGATGGAAGCCAGCAGAGCTTCTGCTCATTTACTAAGGAGCAACTGCACTTGCAGAGTACAATTGCACTTTGAAAAATGCACAGTCTAATTGCCTTTAGCAGATCAACTCCTGAGTGTTTTCAGATCTGCCCAAACTACTCAGACCCACCTACTCTCTCATCTACAAAGCATAAAGACAAACCATTCTGTAGTCCCAAGATAAGAACAAAGAAGTTAATTTTTAAGGTTTTCGTATACTTTATGTTAATGAATGTGAGGTAAGATACCTCAACAGCCAGCAAAGATCTCAAGGTGGCCAAAGATCTTAAGTGGGCTTCCAAAGATCTCAGAGGGCCAAAATGTAATGCATTTTAACACACTCCATGACTCTCTTTCTGGTATATTTATTTGTGATTAGAAGATGACTGTGTAAACTGTTTTAGAATAGATATGAGCCTTGTAATAGCCATCTTATTATTGCCTGAAACATAATTTATTGTAGAGAGAAAACAATTAATATAGTTTCTTGTTAATGTAGAGAGATACATTTTGTGTGGTTTAACTGATTTTGCAAACCCTAAAAATTCTGAAACAATTTGTGCCCATTGATTCGCCATTGGTCCAAAGTGTGAAACACAAAATTAACCGCTTCCTGACCGTCTTATAGCAGAACTACTGTTACAGGGTGGCAGGGCTGCACAAAATCACGTATATAAACGTGATTTTATATTTTCAGGTAGGGGGCATATGCAAAGCCATTGGCGGCTACAGCTGTCGATCACCGAAGTTTCCCCGCCGGCACCTGGTGATCACCAAGGAACAATGATGGGGGAGAGTTCTGTATTTAAACATACAGATCTCTCCCCTGTCAGCACCAGCCCGCTGCTTTGTATTGATCTGCATAGCAGAACAATACAAAGCAGCCTGCTTACACAGTAAAACCGCACACAGCACATAATGTGAAACACGCATAGCACACAGTTTAATCGCCCCATATGTTAACCCCTTCCTGTCCAGTATCATTAGTACAGTGTCAATGCTTTTTTATTAGCACTGATCACTGTATTATTGTCACTGGGGATGTCAGTGACAGTGAGTTCCCCCCAATGTTAGCATGCCCACCACAGTCTTGCAGTCCCGCTCTAAGTCGCTGATCGCCGCCATTACTAGTATAAAAGAGTGTACAGGCAAGGAGAAGCATTTACAACAGGAGAGACCAACTTTCCCCATCTTCTCTTTGATGCAACTCTGTTCCTCTGTGGTTCTAATCCTGTGGTGAGAGAGCATGGGGAATGGGTGGTCTTTAAAGTTACTCTTCCCATGCTTGTCAAAATATATTCCATACATCTAGAGATATAGACTACTGAAGCTATAGAAAAATCTCAACGTTAAGGGCAACACTAGATATTCCTTGAGGGCTTCAATGTAGAACCTGAGGGGTGAGTATCAGTGGGTAGGATTTTTACTTTCAAGAGAAACTGTCACTTTGTCATGAACAGCCAAAGCAATAGAGCCTCTTTGAGGTAGATTTCTACTGTGCTCAGGTTAAAATACCAAGGCATGTCACAATCCGGTGCCTCAGTGTTGCATGGCTGCTTTTTAGCTGCTTCATAGATTAAAGATAAGATGACCTATACATCATCCCATATACATCAGAAAGCATTAACTGGTCCAAACATTAGCTTTTATGAAATGAGAACAAATAAACTGTATTCAGCACACATTTTTATTATACATCATAATAATAGTATGAGGAAGTTAATGTTTTACTCTTGTTGGTTAATTGATACTATCTCCCAAAGATCTTGTCTTGATCTTGTATTATTTAGGTGCAGCTGTATCGAGCCCAGTAAGCCTAGCAATGGTACCTTAACATATTGGGAGAAACATAATATTACAGCATCAGAGATATCGTGGAGTAACCTAACTGTCTCTGTAAGTGAGCACTTTTTAGAAATTTCTTTATATAAAGACATTGTACTGAACCGGAACATTTTTGTGTAAATACTGTAGAAACCAGTTTTGTTCTTGTAATATAATTTTAAAATGGCAGACTGAGTGGTCACTGAACTTAAAGTGACAAATAAACTGGTGCAGCACTTCCATAGTTAGTCTGGTTGAAAAAAAGACACATTGTCCATCTAGTTCAACCATCAACCATAAATTAACATAATAAAATGATACAATAGTACTCTTAAAACCATTCCACATTACCAAAAACCTAAAATGCTAATAAACTCTATTTTCTAAAAAATGGATTAACACATTATTTTAAAGTGCATCCATAAATTCCAGTCCGCATATATTTTCACATGCGTGTATCTATAAGGTGCTTCTAAAATACTTCCCTATAAAATGCTCCTTCTAAACCAGTGCCTCACTCCAATTCAGAAAGTGCTTGTGCATCAAACTCCTTTCACTGCATGCCTTTGCAAGCATTACTCTCCAAATATTGTGTGACCCCTTATGAGATAAGAAGGTCTCAAGAGCTTATATGCTGACTCCAAAGGGTCCTCTGTGGGATGTACATCTGAGTACTACTCCTCCACTCCACCAGCTCTGAGCAGTTACACCATAAAAAGCAAACCTCCAATAGTATAATACCTCTTTCTTTCATTTCAAAACCAACAATTGCTCACTTACATTAAAAACAATGAAGATCAGACTTTGTATTTTCTATTGGCACCTTTACTTCACATTCAAATATGGCCGCGTGTTCCACAACAGTGGAAGTGTCGTCCCCGGAAGTGGCATAGCAAGGGTAGCTCCGCCATATCCCCTGAACCTGTCATACTAACAAAACACATTGGGCGGAGCCACGCTTGCAACATCATTTCTAGTGATGTCACGTTTGTTGTGTGGTGGATTGCAATTTAATGCAAGTTCACTTACAGCGCTGCACCAGTGTATTTGTTATATTTGCACTATTGTCCCCTGACGGATTATAGGAGGGTGCCTAGCAGCTTGTTTAAAAAGTCTAGAGTAGTAGTCATAACAATGCAGAACAATGCTTGGGAACTCAGCAATGGGGAAACAGCAGCTGCAGGGAGACCACAAGCAACACTGGTGACTAGTCCTTTTCCTTATGTTTTCCATTTTCAGGCACCGCTTTCACAGTTCTTGTCCTCTTTAACTAAATTCATGTATGATTTCAAATTGTTTAACTATCTCTGTAAGTGAGCATTTTTTAGGAATTTCTTGATATAAAGAAATTGTACTGAACCTTGTTAGCACATTTTTATGTAAATATAAACCAGTTTTCTTTTTGTAAAAGAATTTGAAAATGGCAGACTGAGTGGTCACTGAAGTAATGTGACAAATAAACTAGTGCAGCACTTACATAGTCTGGTTGAAAAAAGACACATGTCCATCTAGTTCAACCATTAACTTTATATTAACTTAATAAAATGATACACTAGTGCTCTTAAAATCATTTTACCAAAACGATACACTAGTGCTCTTAAAATCACATTACCAAAAACGCTAAAGCATAGGGAAAGGGACTAGTCAACACTGGTTGACTAGTTGGACCCAGTGCTCTAAAGTAATAATCACTCAGTAAAATAGTTTGTCTGACAATTCCCCCCCCCCCATATTTCTCTGCAATACATGTCTGTGGGAAGAAAAGTCAAAGACAGGGAGGCCATACATGATTCTTTTTTTATTTTGTGCAACCAACTGGCTGAACAAACAAGAATGAGCCAATTCCAACAATCACACATTTTATGTGGATGGAGGAACCCTTCCCACTGTTCTTTTGTATTCTGCCAGTGGAGAGCATCCCTGCCAGCAGAATACAATGATCAGGTCTACAGCTGGCAGCACTCATCCTTCGGTAAAACCTGACAGGCTGGTTGAACACAAGTCTTTTGATAGTTCTACTTGTGTTCAACCAGCTTGCCCATACATGGATCAAAATCCAACTGGTCCCTACTGAGCCAGCCAGATTCTGATCCATGTATGGTCAGCTTAAAGTTCAAATAAAGGCAAAACTTTTTGTTTAGTTTTGGACAGAGTGGAGATGGATTAGATCCCCTGTCTGCACCCCCATTAAGAAGACCACCCTCTCTCTTTGTCCTGTTTACCATTATCATTGAAACTGAAAGTAAAAGAAAATGCCACATTTTGGGTTGTCCCCGGGAAAGTAATAGAAGGGAAATTTTCCAATGGAGACACTAGTTCTGGTGACCTGAGGGTCCCCAAGGAATTGCCTTAATTTGCAGGGATTTCCTCTCACTTCCTGTTTTGACTATGGGATAGAAAGTGAAGGTAAATCTCCCCAGTGAAACACAGATGGTAAAAAATAAACTGACAGGGGTTATAACCCTCCTTTACTCTATCCAAAATGAAAAAAAAAATGTTCTGCCTACAGGTCTACTTTAATACTATGGTAATAAATGTTTGTGGTACAGTGTCTGACTATATATCTATTTCTGTGACTTCAGTTGGGTGTTAAAACAGAACAATGCAGTACAGCCAATGAGCCTTGAGAGTGACTTGCTTTGTCAAATAAAATTAAAACCAAACCAATGAAATAGGTTTCTGCAGGAGCCATCACAAAACAAAGAGGATTTCTGCTGATGTGTGACAGATGGCTTTGCCAAGATATTCTAAAATGTATCTAAAAGCTTGTATTTCCTCTAAAACATTTGCATCCAGCTGTTCAGGATACATACTGAAATCTAACAGCTTTTCTTTCAGTTGCAAGGCTTATCATAAGCTCTGCTTCCCTTTTATTGCTAGGGTGTAATCAGCATATCATTACAGTTGTAGGAGTAAATCTGAAATTCTGAGTCATCTGTTTACTCTCTCTCTCTCTACATTGTAGCTGTGTTGTATAGTTCCAGTTTGATTGAAATTCTATTTTAAAAATAAGCCTCATATTGTATTCAGCAGTAAAACTGCAGCAAGAGCAGGCCAGACTACCTGTCTTAAAGGAGAACTCTACTTTAGTATGGAAATAAATAGTAAATAAAGAAAAATTGCATATACAATTGCTACACAAGTCATAATGTAATTGTTAATAAAAAATACCTTTCCTTTTCAATCTGCAGCACTGTAGTTTTCTGTAAAATGCAATGCAAAATGGCAAACTGGAGGCCTTTTGTACACAGATGGTGTAGAGAACACCCCCAGAAATGTTTTTCCAACTAGAGTGATTGGCTTACTGATTTTCCCAGATGTTTGCAGTAAGATATCAGCTGGATTTTTGTCATCCCCTGCAACAAACATGTAATTATTGATGAGATACTCACAAAGAGAATGTAAGTTGGAAGGTGAGATTGTAATCATTTACTGAGAGTAGCAACAAGTAATCAAGCCAACGCATGTCGGGGGAACAAAGATTCCCTCTTCCACAGGGCTATTAGACAAACATAAGTGTAAAAAAACTTATATATAGACAAATATGAATATGTAGAAATAGAAAAGCGACTGCTGAAAATATAATTTACGTAATTGTTTGCAAACACATCTTGTAAAAGAATAAAGCAAACTAGACGTAAAAACATGCATGTACAATATATACTGTATATTTTACATAGTACTTGAAAAACTAAAAAAATATCAGAACAACAAAAAAAAGATAAGTACAACAATAAAATAGCTAATTAAGCTTGTTTAAAAACTAGCATCCTAAAATGTAATGTGTATCCACTGATGTATTTAAAAAGACATAAAAACATAGTTAGAAGATTCACAATACATTTTAGGATGCTGGCTTTTAAACAAGCTTAATTATCTATTTTATTGTTGTACTTATCTTTTTTAGTTCCTCAAGTAAAATATATATACATATCTGTTTTTACATTCAGTTTTCATATGCTTTATTCTTTTACAAGATGTTTTTTCAAACATTTATGTAAATTATATTTTCAGCTGTTACTTTTCCATTTCTACATATGCATATTTTTCTATATATATGATTTTGTACACTGTTATGTTTGTCTAATAGCACTGAGGAAGGGGAATCTCTATTCCCCCGAAACGCATTGGCTTGATTACTTGTTGCTACTCTCAATAAATGCTTACAAACTCACCTTTCAACTTGCATTCACTGGAACTTTACCTATTTACTTGCAAATACATTGCAGAAACAACTTCAAGGCCATACCTAGAGGTAGCAGCCCAAGCCCCCAAAAAAGGGCTCACTGCCACCTTGATTTTCAGTTGGGAAAAAATCATTAGAAGAGAATTCTTCCAACCTGTCCCCATCATCACCTACTCATTGATCAATGACTGATTGAGTCAGTCCAGCGCAATCTTCAACCCTAAAAAGCTACATTCCTGAGAGGAAGTGAAGAGAAATCTTCCCAGTAAGACAGCAAAAAAAAAAAAAAGACACTTTAATTCTTCCCTTCTCTATCCAAAAGAAAATAATGGACATTATTTCACATGACTGCATGTCTGTGTATACAGTGAAGGAAATAGGTATTTGATCCCCTGCTGATTCTGAATGTTTGCCCACTCACAAAGAAATGATCAGTCTAAAAATCGAATGGTAGGTGTTTTGCAACACTGAGAGACAGAATAGCAACACAAAAATCTATCATTTAGCAGGATTTCTGGCTACCAGGTATCTTTCATACAGGTAACAAGCTGAGATTAGAAGCAGTCTCTTAAAGGGAGTGCTGATAATCTCATTTTGTTACCTGTATAAAAGATACTTGTTCACAGGAGAAATCAAACAATCAGATTTCAAATTCTCCACCATGGCAAAGACCAAAGAGCTGTCCAAGCATGTCAGGAACAAGATTGTAGACCTACACAAGGCTGGACTGGGATATCAAACTATCATCAGGCAGCTTGGTGAGAAGCTGACAACAGTTGATGCAATCATTTGCAAATGGAAGAAACACAAAACAGCTGTCAGTCTCCCTAGGTTTGGTGCACTATGCAAGATCTCACCTTGTGGATCATGAGAAACAGTGAGGAATCATCCCAGCACGTGAGAATCTTGTCATTGATCTCCAGGCAGCTGGGACCACAGTCAACAAGAAAACAATTGGTAATACACTACGCTGACAAGGATTGAAGTCCTGCAGTGCCCGCAAGGTCCCTTTGCTCAAGAAAGCATATGTCCAGGCCCGGCTGAAGTTTGCCACTGAACATGTTGTGGTCAGATGAGACCAAAATCGAGCTCTTTGACATCAACTCAACTCGTCATGTTTGGAGGAGGAGGAATGCTGCCTATGACCCCAAGAACACCATCCCAACTGTAAAACATGGTGGTGGAAACATTCTGCTTTGGGGGTGTTTTTCTGCTAAGGGGATAACTGCACCGCATCAATAGAGACAATAGGGACAATAGACGGGGCAATGTACCGTCAAATCTTGGGTGAGAACCTTCTTCCCTCAGCCAGGGCATTGCAAATGGGTTGTGGATGGGTGTTCCAGCATGACAATGACCCAAAACACACGGCCAAGACAACAAAGAAGTGGCTCAAGAAGAAGCACATTAAGGTCCTGGAGTGGCCTAGCCAGTCTCTAGACTTTAATCTGATTGAAAATCTGTGGAGGGAGCTGAAAGTTTGAGTTGCCAAACGTCAGCCACCAAACCTTAATGACTTGGAGAGGATCTGCCAAAAGGAGTGGGCCAAAATTCCTCCTGAGATGTGTGCAAACCTGATGGCCAACTATGGGAAATGTCTGACCTCTGTGATTGCCAACAAGGGATCTGCCGCAAAGTACTAAGTCATGTTTTTGAAGGGGATCAAATACTTTTTTCCCTCATGAACATGCAAATCAGTGCATAATTTGTTAAACATGCATTTCCTTTGAATTTTTTGTTGCTATTCTGTCTCTCAGTGTTACAATACACCTACCATTTGATTTTTAGACTGATCATTTCTTTGTGAGTGGGCAACATTTAAAATCAGTAGGGGATCAAATACTTATTTCTTTCTTCAGGTCACGTTTTAAGTAAAACAATACTTATATATGAAAAGATCAGTTTCAGTATTTCTTATGTTGTATTTTTTTCCACCAGGCATGCCATCATTTTAAAGGAGAGTTTGTGGGTAGAGCCTGTGGACATGAAGGTCCCTATGTACCTGATGTTCTGTTCTGGTCCATCATCCTATTCTTTGCAACTGTCACAATGTCCTCAACTCTGAAACAATTCAAAACCAGCCGTTACTTTCCTACAAAGGTAACAGTTTTATTGTTCTAAAAATATATATATATATATATATATATATATATATATATATATATCAGATAGATTGTTTTGGTCAATAAAATATATTTTTTGCTGTTTTTAACAATCACAAAGCATGTTATACCATAGCGTTACAATCAGGGGGGGACTGACCATTTGGAAACTCGGGCACTGCCCGAGGGCCCAGGGTCAGTAGGGGGCCCCATGAGATGCCCCTGGTACCTTTTTCATAGGCTTTTTTGAGTTTGGGCAAGGACACAGGGGCCCCATGATCCCCTATTGCCCGGGGGCCCGGTGAGTTGTCAGTCCACCCCTGGTTACAATGATATATCTAGCAGTAGTTAGTAAGATTCACCTGAACTTGTTCTTTAATTTTGAATACATTAAAGCCAAGTCTGTTTTTATTGGTGTCAGGAAAATACTCCAGCATTTATATCTACACTGATAGCACCAACACCTTTGTCTAATTACCATGGAAAAGCAGATGTTATTGTCGAAGGATAGGAACTGTGAAAATTGTGCAACCACCCTATTCTAGTTACATTATCCTATTCTCGGTGTCAGGAAAGCTTAATAGGTAGTGCTCCTCTAAGTGCTTAAACTCAATGTAATATAATGCACTTTCCAAAACCAATTATTGTGCTAACCCATATAATCCATGTCAAAAACATGCATTTATATAAGCATAAGTATCTTGTGAACATCAAATGTGCGTTTATACAAACAAATATCTTGTGGACACATCATAAATCATCTTATGTGCCCATAGAGTGTGCAGAAAAAACAGATCCAGCAAAAGTCCCAATATATAAATTGTGAATCACGCAGAAACTCAGTGAAACAGCAGTGTATTCCAGAAACACTCAGTGAATCAACAATGTTGTGATTCCATTCACATGAAAAATAACACACCACTTCACCCAGGTGCAGTTATAGCTGTACCTTCACCAATTTTAGTGGACCTCATTGTTAAACAAGTCAGCTACAGTTTTACAAAACAGGTCGCCCAGATCTTAATCATGTATTGGGTCCGCCTTTTAATGCAGCTTGAGAGCTCATACAATTACAAGGGAACATAAAAAGACTTAATATTGCTCACTGGTTGTTTATTAAAACACACCTTAAATATTCCACTCACATTTATATATTGTAACAGTACAAAACTCTGTAACTGTGGAATTCGTCAAGAAAAGGACACAGGGTTTCCACATTTGCTGAGTGCAGGACTAAGGAGCTTATATTTTGAGTGGAGAAAAGTGCTTTTGCAGCTTTCTCCAGGTTTTGGTATTCCTGGATAAGGCTTCGTAGTTTGGAGATTCCATAGTGTCGTGGGAGGGACAGAATCTCCAAGCCTGTATCCAGGTATTGTGAAGCTCCAGCAGAATGTGTGCTCAGGCCTTATAGTGCAGGTTTGGGAATAACTCAGGGCTCCACCCAGAAGAGACAGGAGGGTCTCTCATCCAGGAGTCACCAGGAATCCAAGCCCTCTCATGGACCAAGAGAGGAGCTGTGTGCATTAGAGTAAGAGACTGATAAAGGCCTGAGGACTAAGGCCAGAAGAGCTGTGTGCTTTAGAGTAAAGCTGGGTACATTGAAAAACCTGTGATTTGGGTGACCAGCGTAAAGAGTAGAGGTACTGCGATTAAAGTTGAGTGAGAACTTAAGACCCAGGTGAGCTAGCATTTTTCATTTGTATCTTTTGTGGAGAAGAACCCCTGGGTGGGAAACCTTGTTTTATGGACTTCCCATTTTACTGTTAATACTTCACTAAACAAGACATCTACCACTGAGCTGAACATCCCTCATGTCACAATATGGATACATATGCTTTTTCACAATGTAATCTTGAGTCCACAATAGGTACCAGGCTGAAACACTCCTCAGTATCGCTGGCCCACCCAGCATGATGAGGTCAATAGACAATGCTCTGTGACGCATTGCATCCCTCCAGACTTTCTCAAAGGTAGGATGTAGTACAGACGGATCATGCGTTAACAGGATGGCCAGGAGTTACCAAGGAAACTAGTACAAAATAACAATGACACATCACTATGCTCGGAACTACAGACTGGCAAGACACATATATAAATAAAAACACATCATTCATGGGTTGAAATAGTTTTAAATAACACATCATTTTTTATGAGGGCTTTAGGAGATGAATACAGTGATTTTAAGATTGGTAGTATGTGTGATATGTTTTTTATATATACATGTTTAAGGGAACACAGGAAAGTGCGTCATATGTAGAGATTCTACTGGTGGCTGTGCCCTGCAAGAGAGAAAATGTTCCAGGGATGGTGAATATAAAAAATATCTTTTTCAGGGTATTTTTTTTATAGGTATCCTGTTATATAATTTTTTATGCTTTAACTGTATAGTGTATCTCAAGTTATGTTGGGTTAACATGATGATGTTGGAAGAATTTGGAAATGCTATGAAAATAGGGTTCACTTGCTTCACCAGCTGTCAGTTGGATAACTACTGCTGGCCTGTTCCATTGGTTCACTTCTGCACCGTATTTGTATCTTGTGGAAATGCTATAAAGGAGGTAGAATAAAAAGTGAAAACCATTTGGTATTAGGTATCCACTATGAAACAATAAGCAGTAGTTATCTATTATATGTATGTTTACAGCCTGTAACTCTTATAACCTTTCTTTTCTGTTGTGCAGGTGCGTTCCATAATCAGTGACTTTGCCGTGTTCCTTACTATAATGGTTATGGTAGCAATAGATTATTGTCTTGGAATTCCATCCCCAAAGCTTCAGGTTCCAAGTGATTTCAAGGTAACAAAAAGTAAAGCCAATTGTCGTGGTATCTTCAGAGAAGTTATATTGCCAATGATAAAAATCATCATGCTTGGATTTACTATGGTGGTCATCAATACAATATTTCCCATGATTGCTTGCAAGTTGAAGGCAACATTGACTTCTTATATCTTTTAAAACCTTCAATGTTGAGCTATACTCGGCACAATTCTATGTCATGTCTAATTGAAGTGGGTATTCAAAAGTCAAATGATCAATTTAATAAAGAGAAACCTCATGATGACCTAGAGCTGAACTCCAGACAAACAGTCCTGAGATTTATGCAGCTCCATCACAGAGCACAGCCATGTCTGGCAGGGTAGAAGACTTAATTTTCCTCTGCTGCAGTTAAATAACAATTGAAAACAAGAACGTCCTGTGCTCAGTGCATGCAGAATAAGAAAATGACATCTTCAAATAAACTAAATATGAATATAATATGTACGTAATATAACTCCACAATAGGTGCGCTATCCTAAAAAATAAATATCAAAAAGTCCATATATGTATATAGTAAGAAGACACAGAATATTGGGACTTTATATACCCCTCCAATGGTCAAACATGCATGTTACAGCTTTTTATTCCAATAATTTAAAAGCATAGGGGTTGATTTACTAAAGGCAAATAGACTGTGTGCTCTGCAAGAGCAGTTGCTCCAGAGCTTAGTAAATAAGCAAAAGCTCTGATAACTTCCATCATCCAATCATGTGTGAGCAAAAATGCTGTTTTTTTTTATTTTCCTGGCCCCTGATTGGGTATTCTTTGCAAAGTGAAGCTTTGCTTCATTTAGTAAGCTCTGGAGCAACTGCACTTTGCAAACGCACAGTCTATTTGCCTTTAGTAAATCAACCCCTTAGTTTCCATTAAAAACATTGGTAAAGTAGGACATTGATTCTGTCACTTATCTCCCACATACAGTGATAGAGGGACGGTATCACTTAAGTCCTTTAGATATCATACATTGTAGGTCGACGTGTTTCACAGGGTGGCCTGCTTCCTCAGGACCTTAGATCTCAGAAATATGGATATAATAATCACTAAAATAATATAAAAAAAAATATATATAAAAATTAGACCATTCCAAAAATTAAATACAATAACTCTCACTAAGTAACTAATCACAGAGGAAGGAAGAAAGAGAGAGAAAAAAAGGGGGGATATAATAAAATTATATGTGTTTATAACAATTATTAAACTATATATACATATGTGTCCATATGTACCTTGTACAGTCCAGATTCAATAGCACTTAATATATATGTCAATAGGAAAGGTATTCAATAAAGTCCACCAAGGTCAAAGAAAGTCTCACGTTAAAATCTGTTATTAACAGTCACAATCCAGTGCAAATCCCAATAGGAGCCAGTGTTGTGAGGATATCCATGTCACAAGGATAAACACATTTCTTACTAGAAAGACTGGATCTCAGACAAGCAAGATCATGTGAGCTCAGCTGACACATGGTCATACACCATAACACATGACTTCAATGAGTGAGACTCCTATACCATCATCACATATAATCTATGGCTTCCCTTATCGCTCAGCATCACATATGGTTGCTGTGCACGAGACAGCTAAACACTCCTCCACCAGATTCCGCATGTCCAAACTTAGACTTTAACCCTTTTTTTTCTAATGGCAGCATACAACAATGGAGGTAATTGGAGAATTTCTGTTGGGGTATCATTCAAAACGAATGACACCGTATCACACCAACACTTGATTTGGCCAATAGGGTTTATATGTACTTTAAGGCCTTATAATATTTCTCTTGAATATGTTTTTTGAAGTTTGGTTTCCATTTGATTTTTTATGGTAATTATTGATATTTAAGAGGGTACAAATAAAGCCTGTTAAAGAATGTTAATTTTCCATAAGGATCTCTGTGTAAACTATTTGGGAGTTCAATGGTGAAGACAGTGGAACTAGCCCACAAATTCCTTATGGTATATATGACCCTGGATGACATAGTTCCAAAAATATCTTCATAAAATGATCATAAAGCTGCCATGTATCTCATCCTTCCTATATCATTACTTATTGTCTTTCTTTTTAGCCTACAAGAGATGATCGTGGCTGGTTCGTTAACCCGTTAGGACCAAATCCTTGGTGGACAGTGCTTGCTGCTGTCATTCCATCTCTGCTCTGTACCATTCTGATCTTTATGGACCAACAAATTACAGCTGTCATTATTAACAGGAAAGAACACAAGTTAAAGGTATGAGATAATGAATGGCCAGCTTGCAAGAGCCTGATTTCTAAAGCTGCAGTAACACAATATGGACATTTTCTGCAAGTTCCTGCCAGAAATCCAGTAACTTCTTATGGACTGAACAGCAATCTCAAGCAATAAAATAAGCTTTCATAGCTGTCTAAATTTCAAAATACTACCTCCCAATGTGCAGATGAAGAGAGGTGGAGGTATTTGTGTTGTTGTTTGAAGCTCAAATCAGAAGAGTAATCTAGGGTTCTAGGGTGACAATGCTGCTCGTCTGTAGATACAATACAGTGAGTGAGTACTGTCAACCTAGCATGTATTGAGCCTAGTACACATGATTAGAAAATCGTATGAAAAATACTGCTTTTGAAGAGATCATATCATGATCGATTGTACACAGCTTTCATCCAAAATTATTTGAAGGCACAAGCATGAAACGTTTTCTTGTACAATAACAAATCGTATGATTTTAATTTACTTAGTACAGTTTTTGTCTGAAAATACAATACAAATACATTCAGGGCTGCCATCAGGGGGGACCACCGGTACTTCTATAGGGGGCCTGAGCACCCAGGGGGGACAGCAGGAGGATCAGTGGGGCAGGGGAGGGAGCACCCTCCAGCAGCTTTAAAGCAGATTTCTCCCCCTCTCCCTCCCTCCGGCTTTCAGCTGCTGGAGAGAGAGAGACGCACGTGGCCGGATTGAGCGGGTGGGTTTGAAGTGGCGGGATGTATGCTGAGACAGGATGCTCGGAGCAATAGGCGCATTTTTAGACAAATATTTGGTAGGCTATACAGGGGCCCAGAATTTCAAGTAGCAGCCTTGAATACATCACTTCCGAATTTTCTTTCTGGTGTACAAGAATTTTCATAACTTTATTAACCTCTTCACTTTCAATAAGAGATTAGCATGCAAAAGATAATGGATGATCATTCATCCAATATTCTTGTGTACAGGACTTTACTGGCAGGATCATGGGTTAAAAGTAAGTGGCCTCAATAACAAATGGAGCCACTACATCTAAGGGTAGGCAAACTGCATGTATATACTGTATATACAATATATATATATTTGTTTTAGGGTTTATGTACGCTTTCGCACACACAAATAGGTTGACAGATGGATACATAAACCATTTTTTAAAAATAAATTTAGAAACATCAAATAGGTAGGGCAGTTAACCTAAATTATTTATATTCTTTGTTTCTGCAGAAAGGCTGTGGCTACCATCTTGATCTTCTGATGGTTGGTATCATGCTTGGCGTGTGCTCGGTGATGGGTCTGCCCTGGTTTGTTGCTGCAACTGTCCTCTCTATCACTCATGTAAACAGTCTCAAGCTGGAGTCAGAGTGTTCGGCTCCAGGAGAACAGCCTAAATTTTTAGGGATCCGCGAACAAAGGGTTACGGGACTCATGATTTTTGTACTCATGGGGTCCTCTGTATTTATGACAAGAGTTCTTCAGGTATGTAAACAGCTTCAACAGGCCCATGAAATAAAGCATTGTCGGGGACAATATTGTCTGAATCAATAAATGTTTTTGTCCATGGAAACTAGTGAAATGTTTTTTCTTTTACTGAATGGAAAAAATAAAGTGGAAAATTGACCATTCCAGTGAGCAAGTGGAGCATATCTCCAAAGTGCCCCCCCCTTCCCAATGCCCCCCCCCCCCGCCTTATGTATCCATATGTCAAACATTAAACAAGTCTCCAGAAATACCTTAAAAAGGATCGGTCATATGACTGCTCTAGACTTTTTTCTCCTCTCTCTCCTGCATTGGATAGGGAGTGGTGGCAAACAACTTCTTCTTTCTAGAAAGTAATACATTGAGCAAGGGTCCTGTGATGCCTTGCTCCTCCGGCATAGCACTAGGTTGACAATAAGTATGTGTCAGGCTCTTTACCATGCTCATCACATTAAAAGCTACAGCATATATGTGTCCCTTAATGTGGGTGGTACCCTGTAGGTAGAACACCCTCCAGCTGCCTGAATTAGGTAAACTTTTGTAATTTAGAGAACTACATGAGAATGTTAAAAAGCCAGAAAAGACAAAAGTTGAATGAAAGCAAAGAACAGACTGGGATTTCAAAATGAAGATTTAATCCTTAAGAAAGTGCTGGCACAAAAAGGAGTTAAATGGCTGCTGTGATGCCCATGAGCATTTCTGATGCAAGTCTTCTACTAGCAGTGACAAAGCAGTCTTTGTTTTCTGAATCTCTCATAACATAGTCTTATTAACTGTTGCTCTGCTGGTAGATTTCTTATATTTCCACTTCCTGTATTAGGGTGACCACCCTGTTTTATCTACAGTGAAATCTCACAGTTGCGTTGCCACCCCATGGACAGGTTAATCTTAAATGAACATATAGGGGTTGATTTAGTAAGGTCAAATAGACTGTTCACTTTATAATGGAAGTTTCACTTTGCAAGGGCACGTGCCCCAGAGCTGAGTGAATGAAGTGAAGCTCTACTCTGACTTACCTCATCCAATCATCTGCAAGCAAAAATGCATTTTATTTACTTGCACGTGATTGGGTATTCTTTGCAAAGTAAAATTTCACTAAGCTCTCTGGCAAATTCCCATGTAAAGTTCAACTTTCTTTAAAAAGGAACAACATTTTTTCTTTAGTAAACCAACCCCATGGTTTTAAATGGATCTGAAATAGCAAAAAAAAAAAATTCAAGCCCAACTCCAGTTGACAATTTTACACAGCTAAAACAACAGATTTTTCTTTTTGAAAAATGGTTTTAAACCATGCAAACTAAAGCTAACCACTGGAAGTACCCCCAATGTTATGTATTTTTTCCAACCCTATGACTGCCAGTGTAGGTGAACAAATTAGCCTGTAATAGGGCGTGTAAAAACATTGACTCTCCTGGCAGGATTAACAGGTATTACCATTGTGTTATAGGACATATAGAAACTAATCAGCTTCCAGATTTTATTGTTAAAGCTTAATTGAACAAGCTGAAGTTAGGAGCTTATTGGCTGCCACGCAGAGCTACACCAGATTCTGAGTGCTCTAGTTTTAGTAAATCCCCCCCATATTGTGAATGGGCCCTAATGTGACATACTTAAAACATATTAAAAAGAATAGAGTACCTCTTTAACAAGCTACACAAATATATACGTTTTGTTACATGTTCCTGATGTACTGTCTGCTGCCATTTCTTATGAATTTTTATTTTTAAGTCACTTTTGGTAACCATGTATGTCTTTTCTCTTTTTGGTTCGTAGTTTATTCCTATGCCAGTTCTTTATGGAGTCTTTCTCTATATGGGTGCCTCATCACTAAAGGGAATTCAGGTAATGGCAAATAATGACGGGTGATGTATTATAGAATAGACACCGCAGAGCTAGAGCTAGACATTCAACTTTAATTTTAAAGTAAATTCATTACCATTCCTTATTTTTATTTTATTATAGCTTTTTGGCAAATGGACAATGTCTTTACTATTATGGAACTGTGCATTTCAGTTTACGGCAGTTAATTCCATGACTTTGCTGCAAAAATGTGTTGACAGGGAACATACCAACAGGAGAAGAAAGCAGATGTACTTGATGCTCCATGTTGCTTCTCCTTCATTGTCCAATCAGTATATTGTTTAATAGAAAGATGACACCTTTGTATTCCTTAAGGGAGAAGTATGAGGTTAAAAAAAACAATAAAAAAAGCAAACATACATACTCATCTCTATGCTGCAGCATCTTTGTGATGTTGTAGCTGTCCCACGTCAACTCTAAGACCGAGAACTGAGTGATCATATGACCGCTGATTGCTCTGTTCTTTTTTTGAAGAGGTGTTTAGCTTTTAACAATAATGGTCCTCCAGCGGTCACTGAAGTGCTGGGCTGCGGAGGGGGCAGGAGTGGCTGGTTCAGCAGTAAGCTTGGAGGCTGAGCCAGCTGCCTGTCAAGCATCTGGCCAGATCTCGACAATATGGTTGGTATCATTGCAGAGCCTGGACTGGCTCTGCAATGTCAGCCAACAGTGGGGTTTATCCTGTTGTAGGCTGAAAACAAGTCACAGGAGTGCAGAACTAAGTGCACTCCTTAGATCCATAGGAGAAGAAGGGCCAACAGATTTTTGGTCATACGTCTCCTTTAATGCCTTCCAGCCAACAATCTGCCAATAAAGGTCTTCCAACATGGTGCCCCGCTTATGTTCCCCTTTTGAGAACCAACACTTTGTGAGGCTGCTGACTGTTAGTCCCAGCTGCCACGGATAGCTTGGGTCCCCATTGATGATTGACATCATGTGATCTCTATGTTAGCTATGACATAGTGATTACAGCAGACTTGAGACTACTTTGTTAAAAATAGAAACCTTCAGCCTACAGATGAACACTGCCATCTTGAGTTTGTAGAGGCATTTTTAGTGCCATTAGGGTTTATTATAACTGTAATTGTGAAGTATACAAAATATGACAAAATATTGCAAAATACATAGTTGTGCATTTGTTAGCCTAAAAAATACACAGCAGGGTTTTAATTAAAATAGTGTACCAAATAAAAGCCCTATAGATATTTAAACATTAATAGCATTTGGTTATGAGAGGGTTAAACATTTTTGATGCTATACATTCCAGTTATCGATCTGTACAACATCAATTGTTTTGTAAGAGCATGCTGATTGGCATTAGGTGCATAGTCTTAGGTTAGTTATAAGTTAAAGGCCAATGGACGTCTGCAAATCAACACAAAGACATTATATTTGCCACCTAAATGGAGTTTTTACATAATTGCCATTTAAACTGTACCACTTTTCTTCACAGTTCTTTGACAGGATATTATTATTTTGGATGCCAGCAAAACACCAGCCAGACTTTATCTATTTGAGGCACGTCCCCCTTCGTAAGGTCCACCTCTTTACCATCCTGCAGCTGACCTGTCTTGTACTGCTGTGGGTAATCAAAGCCTCCAGGGCAGCCATTGTTTTCCCAATGATGGTAAGAATGTGTATGGGCTGACTGTAATTAGAATTGTTTAAACAGAAATTATAATTGTTTGGGGTCATTACTATTTATTTATTATTTATTTTTGGTGTAAACTTTTTTTCTTTTTAAACCGATGTCGAATGGCAGAAGTTGTCATTTTTCATTGCACTTCTGTTTATCAAGTCTACATTATATACACCTAAATTAATGTTAGTCAGCACAAATAAAATAAAATGCCCAAATTGTTGGTAAAATATAAAATATGATGTTGTATTGAGTAAATAGATACCCTATATGTCAAACCTCAAAATGTATGACAGTGAAACAGCAAACATATACAGTATCCAAAATTGTCCATAGGTGAAGCTTTAAAAGCCTTTCTAGCTCAACAATTTAGAGCTCAAAGTCAATGATTTCCCTAGAATTATTTCTGTCACTCTGTCATGTACAGTGATACTGAATATGTATGGTGCAATAGTCATTTCCATGCATGTGCACACACGACACATATTTGTGAATGTATTAACTTTATTGTTAGTCTTCTATGTGTGTGCATAGTACAGGTGACAGTTTCCCTTTAAGAATACATTAGTCGTCTGTTAGACCCCTGACGTCTCATTTGCACTGTGATTGACCACAGACTGTTCTTAATCAACTTCTTCCCCCGCCTAAGAGGCTAGAGATTGTGAGCTCTGAGCTTAGACGTGCTCAGAGCTGAGTGCTTCTGGGTTCATTCTTTCAGAGTAGTTCAATGAGCATACTATGGGTTTTCTACATATAGCATACAACATAGGATGTCTACTTTCTCTCTTTAATTGAAACCATAGTGTCAAAGTCCAAAATAATTGTATCCCACTAAAATGTTAGACAGAAACTGTATAACAGTCCAACAGTTTATGGAATCCTAGCTTGCCCTCATCAATCAAAGTTTGTAGATGGAAGTTTGTCTTTGTGTTGACCAAGACTTGAAATCTAATTAGTGTTTTGATTTGCTTTGTGGCACACATGGTGGCAACTATAACACTTTCCCTTTCTTTCCAGGTATTGGCATTGGTGTTTGTAAGGAAATTAATGGATTTTTTCTTTACTAAACGTGAACTGAGTTGGTTGGATGATCTTATGCCTGAAAGTAAGAAAAAGAAATTGGAAGATGCAGAGAAAGAGGTAATAACATTCAAAATGGTTTGTGTGACCAGAAAATTGAGTGTGATTCTAACAGGTGTGATCCAAAGACAGCTATCACAAATACTTCTGTTTAACTATACCCACATGTGTTTCAGTGTGTTACAATATGTCATAAAGCCTATATCATCACCTATCTGCTCTAATTTGTTCCTGCCTCAAATGGAATAAAGTTTCATAGACAACATCTATGGAAACCTTAGTCCTTGAGCTATCTTAGCTGTCGTTCATTGTGTTGATTTTTAATATTCCAAATTCCCCAATGAAACTTACATTTGCCCTATCATCTTTCAGGAGGAGCAAAGCATGTTGGTGTTGGAAGATGAGGGAACTGTCCAGCTACCGATGGAAGGAAACTGCAGGTAACATGAAAACACAGAACTGCAAACTGTTCCAATTGTGTCAAAGTAACTACTGCATAGTTTTGCATAGTCTGTTCAGTCTTGCACATGTTTTTGCATTTACATTCACTGGTTTCCTCAAGAATATCTACTTATGTTAAACAGCAGAGCACAAGCTGTGACTGACATGCTGTAATTGAGATTATATTACAACAAATATTAGAATGGATATTGAATGATTGTTGGTGGCAGGAGTGGTGGTTGCAGCATCTCAAAAACTAAGATCCGTAGTAGCTTTTCACTTGTTGCTGTGTCTTTAAAGTGCCCCTGTGCTCAGACTGTGGACATTAAAGCACTGAGATTCTTAACAATTAGCATAACAGGGAAACAAAGAAACACAGCACCTCTAAGTGTGTACTGTGAAGGTATTTAATAGAAAGATAAGTAGCAACTCACATCTTAGAATGTAAAAACAGGCTCATGGGTAAGAGGGTGAGACGCCTATAGCCAGATGTTGTGTGACTGATCCAGAGGGGAGATCGATTAAGTCTGCCAGCAGATGGTGCTGTGCATGTGCAACATGGATGGTAAGCCTGGTGGAATTTCCAAGGTGTTCGCGCCAGCAGATGGTGCTGTGCATATGCAGCATATATGGTGAAGCCTGGCAGAGTCTCCAAGATGTCCGGGATCAGCACGTGTGGCATCTGACATAATCAAAGTGCGATCCCGGACATCTTGGAGACTCTGCCAGGCTTCACCATCTATGCTGCATATGCACAGCACTATCTGCTGGCAGACACCTTGGAGATTCCACCAGGCTTACAGTCCATGCTGCACATGCACAGCACCATCTGCTGGTGGATCTAATTGATCTCCTCTCTGGATCAGACACACAACATCTGGCTATAGACTTCTCACTCTCTTACCCATGAGCCTGTTTTTATATTCTAAGATGTGAATTACTACTTATCTTTCTATTAAATACCTTCACAGTACACACTTAGAGGCGCTGTGTTTCTTTGTTTCACTTCTTTGCAGCTTGCCCTTAGTGCCTACTGGACTACCCTTACCCATGCCCACTTGGAACTCATCAATACATACATGGACTGCCACACCATGCTCCTGTTATCCCTTTTGTATTAACAATTAGCATACAGGCTTTAAAACAAGCCATCTGACTGCTCTAGCTGCTGGTACTGTGCAGTAATTTATTCTCAAAGATTCTTAGAGATCACAATAGAGACTCTAAAGTCAGATTTTAGCTGGAGATAGCTTAGAAACACATACTGTATGTATACATTAGAGGACTGATAGGCTGTCAGGATTTTGGTGTAATAGAAAGCAAGAGGTAAAGAGCTAAGATTTCAGTACCTTTGTTGAACTTTGAAGATTAATTTCTTCAAAATATCTATAGTTACAGTGGTAAATGGGAGCTTGTGTTAAACTACTTTTACTACTTCATCAAAACATATAAATACTTTGCTGTGCATAGTAGTCTGGGCACAGGTTCCTTTTAAATTAGATTTCCAGGAAATATCTTTGAAATATGCAGTGATAATTACATTTACTTCGTTGCTTTCCGAGATACAGTTCTCCTGAAACATAGCCTGGTGGACAGATATATTTTTAGCTGAATACTTGTAGTCCATACACTTTCTACGGCCCTGCTATTTTTTTTTTTCTTAGAATTGGTTACAACATTAGAAGTTTGTTAGGGCCACTTTATGCATCAACTAATTTCATTCATAAAATAGCAGGGAACAGAAGGAGATGGGAAACATTGAGCCAATGGCCTTGCCTAGAGAGCTGCATTCCAAAAGAACAGCATGAAGGTATATGAAATGAGCACATTGCATAGAGATAGGATCCAGCAGTCATGAAATACAACACAGACTGGCCTTTGGTAGAGCAAGTATGAAAGAACTAGAAAAGATCTTCAAAAGTACTGACTTGTCTATATTATATGAAATCATCTGGTATTTGTAATATTTATTTGCAGTAGGGTTCCATTGTTATTGTTGAACAACAAATTCATGTAAATTTTTGATGCTGTATCAATTTAGGCAAAGTAATTATATCTGTTAATGTTCATCAATTTTAAAGCCACAAAACAGAAGGTACTGTTCTTTAATACATACATGGTACAACTAAATTTTTTTTTTTTATTGCAATGGATATTCTACCCACTTGAACTGTTTAAACAGTGCTTCCATTAAATCCACAGCAGTGCAGAAAGATAAAAAGCTCTGAATGTATTTGCTTTACAAATTTTAAACTTTATTGTAGTCACCTGATCAAGCAGCAGCTTCTCAGACAGTTAGTTAGGAAAGTTATTCATTTTGTGCATTATTCTGTGTGTTAATTCTGTCTAGAGAGGACCCATCAGTAATAAATATTTCTGATGAAATGGCAAAAACATCAGTGTGGAAGACTCTGCTATTAACCTCAGAAAACACAAAGACTAAGGAATCTTCTTCTAAAAGGTTTTAATTTTTTTCTAAGTAACTTCCTTATTTTTGTATTATTTTGCTAGTGTACAATATACATCACCAGTAGTAAATTTTAGTTTTTATTTTGATTCTGTTAACTGTCACATGTAAAGAACTAGATCGAGAAAACTAAAAAGAGTGGTAAACTTTAAAAAAAAGTTGCTTCACGTAATAGAGCTGCTAGTAACATTCATAAATATAATTTTGATACCTGTCTGAATATGAGATA